TCCTTCTCAGCCATCCTCCTCAGTACTCTTCAGTACTCTTCAGTCCGCTAATGTCCACCAATGTCCGCTAATGTCCATCCAAGTCCGCCAATGTCCGTCCGGGTCCGCCAATGTCCGTCCGAGTCCGCCAATGTCCGTCCGAGTCCGCCAATGTCCGTCCGAGTCCGCCAATGTCCGTCCGAGTCCGCCAATGTCCGTCCGAGTCCGCCAATGTCCGTCCGTGTCCGCCAATGTCCCAAAAAACACGTCCGTTGTCTCATAGAATCCAAAAAGGACAGGACATAGGCGGACATAGACGGACATGACACCCCCCCCTTTGAAGATCCTGAAACTGAAGCCATCATCTTAGTGGATGCAGAGAATGCATTCAACTTGCTGAACCGAGAGGCAGCTCTTAACAACATGTATATTGTATGTCCAGAAGTTGCTACCTACATTATGAACACCTACAGAATGCCTGCTAGACTGTTTATTGCAGGAGAAGATGAACATCTTTTTAGTGAAGAAGGGACAACACAAGGTGATCCACCTGCCATGGGATTTTATGTATGTGGTACAATACCATTGATTGATGGCGGAAACATTGAGAGAAAAGTGACTCAGATCTGGTATGCTGATGACTCTGCTGCCATGCTGGGGGAAAACTGGAAGAAATGAGGAAATGGTGGGATAACCTCTGCATTAAAGGACCACTTTTTGGTTACAACCCTAAATCTTCCAAGACATGGGTGATAGTCAAGCCTGAGCACGAAGAGAGGGCAAGAAACTTGTTCCCAGATGTCAATGTTTATGTGACAAGTATTGGTCGACGATATCTGGGCAGCTTTATCGGAACTGATGAAGGAAAAGGGGCTTTCATCGAGGAAAAAGTTCAAGAATGGTGTCGTGATCTTAAACAATTAAGTGATATAGCATCAAGAGAACCTCAAATAGCATACAGTGCATACATGTATGGGCTTAGTAAAAGATGGAACTATGTGTGCAGAACTACCCCAGGAGTTGCAGATAGGCTCACTCCTCTGGAACAAGTAACACGCGATGAGTTTATCCCAGCTATCATCAACAGGCTGTTTAGCTGCACTGATGAACTAAGGAACATAATGGCTCTACCACCAAGATATGGAGGATTGGGTATACCAGTTATGATGGACATGGCAGACCGAGAGTACAAATTCTCATGTAGAGCCACAAAACCCCTTAAAGAAGCTATTCTCAAGCAGGTAGACAACTACACAGAGGACTGGAGAGTAAGCAAAGGAGTGAAAACTGAGATAACAACTGAACGAAATCTCTTCTATCGACAAAAACAAGCGGAAATACGCCAGGAGCTCGAGTCAACACCACTGGCAAAGTTGATGTTCCAACTAGCTGCTGAGAAAGGGGCAAGTGCTTGGTTAACAGCACTACCTTTAAAAGAGTATGGATATCTGATGAACAAACAACAGTTCTCAGACGCAATAGCACTCAGATATAACCTAAACTTAAAGGACAGCCCTAAGACATGTACGTGTGGCCAAAAGTACTCAGCAAACCATGCGCTCATCTGCAAACTCGGTGGATATGTGTCACTGCGGCACAACTCGCTGAGAGACACCTTTGCTGAACTAATGAGAACTGTGAAATGCAAGGATGTGCAGACTGAGCCAGTTCTTCTTCCAGTTGATGGTCTGAAGTTGCCTTTAAGGGAACAGTACTTGGAGACCAAGCTAGGCTGGACATTTCTGCAAGATCGATTTGGAATGCTTCAGAGAGGGCATATTTTGATGTAAGGGTATTTCATGCCCCAGCCCCCTCCAATGCAAGCAAATCGATCCCAGCAATGTACCAGTCCCATGAAAATGAGAAAAAGCGATGTTACAACGCAAGGGTTCTTGAAGTGGAGAAAGGAAGCTTCACACCTTTAGTGTTCTCGACTTCTGGTGGAATGGGTAGTGAGGCTGAAAGACTGGTAAAAAAGCTGGCCAGTAAGATGGAGTACCACACTGGCCAGAGGCCCAGTGGCAAATAGTCAGGCGTCCAGGAATTTAACACCTAGTCAAAATTTGTTGATAACCGGTAAAAAAAGATTCTTGTGGAAAAAATATTCACATTAATTTAAAATTAAATCAAAATTGGTCGCTCTCAGGGCTAACGCGATGTTACATCATTTTATCGACTCGAAGTTCGAATCGAGCGCATTCCTAGATTCCATGACTATTTCTTACCTATAAGATTGCTTGACTATTTTTTGCGCATTCAGACACCAAAAAACGCGCAGAAAACGCGAGCTATCCATTCCTCCTTCCTCAACATCCCGGAATATGAAAATATAGTCATGTAAAATAGTCATTTGAAATAGTCATGCAAAATTTCAGCTCTGATACGCTAAAATATCAAGTTAATCTTAAACAATCGACAATCTAATATGAATCCTCCCAATCCTCCCAGCCATATTAACTGGTGAACGGTGTAAATATAGAGCGGTATTTTAAAATGTAGCATTCAAAATTTTATGGATTCAAGTTGGCTCCTTTAGTCTAGATTCATTTAGAAAATTCTCGAAGTTCGAGTAATACAGTATTCTCAGGGTTTGGCGCTTAAGGAAGCTTCACATCCGAGACCGATTTCCACGAATCAATTTAATATTGTAGCTACAAGTCAACAACAGTGCAAGTGGGAAGGAAGTGAATCTAGCCATTGCTACTATATCAGGGGAACTCGTGTGTTCTAGGCTTAAGCAAGTTTCACATCCTAGATCATCTAGAGTACAGTGCAGACAACCCCCTCCATTATACATCCCTATCCCGCTTTGAGTCCGAAGTTTATCATTGTTTATTGTCCAATATTGTATCTAACCTGGCAGAAGCAAGCTTCAGATCCAAAGTCAGGCCATAAATATCGACACAAGGTCGAAGCCACTTTCAGAGTAGCGAATCGTTCATCATGCTGATGAGAATCAAATCTTAGAACTCGATCTTCCGAGTTAGTATGAAGAATAGTGTGGAAATGTCAGTGGGCTAGGCTCTATACTTCTTTTAAAAAATATTTCCTTGCGTTTCAAATAAATTAAAGAATTCTCAGAAATTTTTTATTTAATTTCAAAATTTGCAATTGCATATTCATCTGGTAATTATTCTAATGGATACGCTAAGCATTTCAAACTAATCTTGACCTGGGAGAAGAGCTGACCAGTGACAAGTCGGCCGCAAAGCGGCCGAAAAATATATAGCCTTTTTTTCTTCCCAAAATGGATTCCTAGTCATATTTAAAATTTATTCCACTGGGGCCAGAGGTACTCGGATGCTGTAGGTTACATCAGAAAGCGCCTTCGCTTTGAAATCCTAAGAACAACAGTGATTTCTCTCCGTGGAGACAGAGGTGCGAGAAAAAACATTGTTAATATAAACAGTCTAGATCTTAACTTGGAGCCACAAGGCCAAGGGTAATTTTTGAGTGTTTAGGGAATTTTTTATATTCTTAAAGGTTTGTTTTTATATAGGGTCATTGCTATATTATGTGTATATTGTTTGAATAATTTTATAATTAAAAAATTTTAAAATTAGGGGCGATTTCAACACCATGAAGAGCACTACTTTATTTTTTAAAAGAATCAATGAAACAAGAAATTTAATTTTTACACACATTTTACAGAATAAAAAGATGTAGAACAATTCATTAAAATGTAATGCGCATTTGGTGTATGAATTTTTGTCCTTGACTGCTAGTTTGATTTTGCAAGGACTGGTAACTAACGGGGGCAAGTACTGTGCGTGCCTTAAAGCTTTTGCACACATCGAAACGCTAGTTCAGTTGAGTTTTTAGAGACAAGGCTCATATTAGGACCAGAAGAAAATTGTTAGCAGACATTAGGGGTTCTGTTTATAGTTGTTACTGCAGTCTTTTGTGACAGAAAGTCTACACTATAATATGCTTAAGTTTATATTGTCTAGTTCAAGGATATATAATGCAAGTTCAAGGTGGATATTATCTATTTGAGAGCTGGCAACAGATTATGGCCTTTGTATCAATGGTTAAAATAAGCTAACAAATCATTTGTATTAGTTTTAGAATCATTTATATTAGCTGCAGATAGTGTTTAAACATCCAGTTCTTGTTCCTCAAGAAACAATTTCTTAGTTGGTTGAATAGGGCTTTAACCTGATCTGAGGGACAGAAAAATTTCATGATTTGATGATCTTCAGCGTAGTACATAACCAATAATAGAAAAACCAGATTCTTTGGCAAATCTGTACCACGATTTGATATGGATATTTAATTGAAAAGATCCGAATCTAAAACTGGGCACTGAGGTACTCCAAATCGTTCAGTAATGACTAATGGTCTCAGAAGCTGATTTACCCAGTCTAATACTGTAAGGAAGCTGGTGAAATAGAGCAGTTTCTTTGATTCTTATTTCTTGCTAGCTTCAAGATACGGAGCAACAAGTTATGGTATTACAGTATCAAAGGCTCAGGTCTTAGAGCATCACTGCTAGCAGTTCTTTCATCACATGCTATCAAGACATCATTTACTGTCTTAATAAAAAGTTTCTTCGAACTATGATGTCTTTTGTAAGCATATTTTTCAGGAGTCAGGACAATTGAGGTTATTATTATTATATGCTCGTGTAGCCTTAACTTCTTAGTAATTCTCTTTCAATTATTTTTCCCAAGAGTGTAAGGTTTGAGACTGATCAGTAGTTGTTCAAGACATTTGGATTCTGATGTTCAATCATTAGGGAAAACTGGTGTGTTATAGCTTATAATAATACCAGAGAAATGGGCATGTACCTTTGTAGGAGGTTTTACTGTATAATTTATATTATATTGATTTTCTTCAAGAAGAGGCTTAAAATTTGGGGAAGAAATTGCCCCCTCGGATGCTTAATTAGATTGTAACCTGCACTTATTTCAGGACTTTATGAGTTTCCGTTAAGTATTTCATATATCCTCCATTATTGCATTATTATTGTTCAAACCCACAGATTTGTTAACCTTCTAATGGAGAATTAAATGTTACAGTTTAATAGTTCATGGATTGACCCTGGCACGATAATCATAGCTCTACATTGATGTGTGAAGCTGCAAATGCTTCGTATATTCCAGCATGAAAGAAGGAGAATTCTCTTACGGTAAATTGATTGTATATTTACAACATAGTACTCAGTCACTAGGCTTCTAGTTTGCTGGAGATCACTATGGTTGAGATATATGTTTTTTAAATCATGTAATCGTGATGGCAAGTTCCTGCATAGTAGTTAAATGAGTTCCTTTTTGATCAACAAATCAAAATATTTAAATCTGAAATTTAATTTTACTCCTTACTGTTTTCACATCCAGCACTGCACTTTCAGGCGTTTGTTGTCAACTACCAGAAGTCCTTATCAAGTCTTAGATATACCACAAAGTGCCTCCAAATCAGATGTCAAAAAAGCCTACATAGCGAAAGCCAAAAAGGTACAAGAACTAGATAATTATTGAGCTTTTGATTTTTATAAATTAAACAAGAAACTTCGAAAAATAAAACATGAATTTTATTATAAATCGATCAAAGATATCGAGATATATTCCACAATGCATGTAATCTGTTCCATTGGGTTCTTAATTTCAATTAAAGTAATGTCATTATTTCAGTGTCATCCGGATTTGTTTCCTGACAATGAAAAGAAGACAAAAGAGTTCCAGGAACTGCAAGAAGCCTATTCCATCTTGAGTGACACTAAGAAGAAGGCAGAATATACTCAAATGGAGCGAGCTGCCCAGGCACAGGCTTATGGTAATCCAATGCCAAAACATCCATTTACCGGCCATGCTGGAATGCCCCCTAGAAATAATTCTTTTGGTAACAGGTAATAATGCAATGTTATGTCAAAACTTAGAAGAATTTGTGTAGGTAACATTATTGTTAAACCAAAATCCACGTTTTTCTGCAAAAACGTCCATTCGTAACCTTTCACTATTGCCTTAAATTTACGAAAGGGTGAACGGAAAAAATATTATATCATAGATCATGATTATATACACTATAAATACTGTGATATCCAATAATTATATCTTAATTTTTATGCATTTACAGCAGGTTTACAGGAGCGTCAGGTGGAGCTGGCGGTGCAAGGAATGATCCTCTTCATGATATGGTGCAGGAAATGCTCAGGTTATTAGGAATTTTTCATAATATTATCATATGTAACTAAAAAAGAGTGAAAAGTCTCCACTGGCAAAAGTTGTTCGAGAAGGGATTTTAAAGATTTAAAATTCATCAATTATTATCTGCAAATGCTAATTGAAAGGCGCCATCATTGAAATCACTGAAATCATAATGCATTCAAATTTTATAATTTAGTTAAATCATTTGGAAATTTAATTTTGCCTTCTCATACTCTTGATTTGTTATTAAGAAGTGATGATTATTTCCTTCAACAATTCTGTATTTTTCAGGGCCCAGAGAAAGCAATATCAATCAAAATTTGGCGGCACAGGTTTTGAAAAAGAAGCCAAAGTAAGAGGGGCACGATGGGACCGTATTATAGCACGACTAGTGTTTGCATATATAGTTCTGTGGATATTCTTTGGAAATCTGCGTCTGTGAGTTTTACAGTTTTTACATTACACAACTTTATATTGTGATTTGTTCGGATGTTTGAGAAGACAGTAAAGTATCGGTGTTTTATGGTTGCATAAAGTTTTGAGGTTTTTAAAATAGCCGGCCATCTCCTTAAAAGTTTTCCCGAAGAAATTGGAAAACTTTGGTGTAATATATAATGAATATTGAACATAAACTATAGCTCCTTTGAAATGTTTTTGTTTTCATTATACTCGTCAAATTTACCTTTTGTACTCGGCTTCTAATTTGCTCCTATTTCAATTGTGAACTTAACAAATATTTTTAGCTCTTATGACAACAGCGTTTAAGTTCATATTGACAGATTTGTTTGCCTTGGCAGCCTTGCAATGTGTACCCACCCGTTTTCAGCTCTGCATCCAGAAGAAACCGTGAATCTGACCAGATAAATGGCCAAACACCCCTCGACAGTATAATGGCAGCCAGAATGGTGAATAATGATCCGAGGGAGAGGGAGTACTTAAGACGACAGCGAGAAGCTCATGAAGTCAGAGAACTGATGGATCGATATGCTGTAAAAGAGAAGAAAGATGCCAATAATGGACTGAATGGGATTGTTGAAGATAAACCTGAATAAGTTTCAATTCTTCTATTTTATTTGTAAGGATTTTGTTCTAACATCTTTATCATTTTGATTTTGTATTACTTGGGATCTGTTGTATTGAGAATTTGGAATCTGTTGAAAATTAAAGAATAAGGAGGTGGCCGGAGCTGTTGCTTAGTGCTATACTCTATATACTCTATACTCTATACTCTATATCTGATTAACACGCTCAAATTACAGTGAAACAAACGAACGGAAGAGGAGAATGTCTGAGTTTGAATCAGATATGAAAATTCAGAATGAAGTCATGGGAACGTTGGTAAAATATGTATATGGACCAAAGGACAGCAAACTTCAAACATTAGACATTAGAAGTAAGAAACTATCATTGTCAAATAAAGACAAAAGCTCAGATGCGAAAGAGGACGATATTTGAAATTAACAGCAGGCCTCTATCCGCCATTCAGCTTCACGAGTTGATTTTTAGTGCAATTATTCCGATTGTTTCTCTAACTAAGAAGGAAAACTAAAGAGTGGTGAATTTAATACCAAATTAGCAATCAGTCAACAAACAGTTTTATTTGAGGTCATTCGATCAGTTTTCATTTATAAGCATTCAGCATAGCAGTACTATTACCATGATTTTGCAGTGTAATAGTACTGCCGAGAGACTAGACCCTCTAAAAACGTTCTGTACTTGTTGTAATTTTACAGAAATCGGGTAATTTTATTTAAATATTGCTTTTCTACAATCTACGTGTGTTTTATAAAGTTGGTGAATTTTAGGAAATATGATGCTGATGGGACAGAGAATAGCATACTTAACTTCAGATTGAAATAATAAAATACATAAACAAAATTCTCTTTGATTTGATCATCATTTCTAATTTTACCTAATGAAAGTAAAAATTTAGTCAGATGTAATGCTCGGATGTTATTAAGACCACACTGTCGGATCACAAGATTGAGAAAGATAGTATCTTTACGATGGTGAGAGAGAGGATATTATTTAAATCTTTAAACCTATCATCGAATTTATCCTAGCAATCTTCAGTGTATTGCAGTTGTTTGATATTTTTGATTTGCAGATGATGCTAACATTTTTGTCTCATTGCAGTTGTTCTCAAGTTTTGGCTTCCAAAGGTAGTCCAGGTTTCGGGCTTTCAGCAAGTTTTACTAAAGAAGAATTGAAAAATGCTTATATTAAGAGAGTAAAACAGGTACTTGACTTTATCTTTTTCCTTGTTTTTTTCCTATCCAGAATTGATATCAGTTTTATTCTAAGCTGCATTGAATTGTTGTTCAGAGAAATTTATCTATTCGCATTTGCCTGATCGTATATATCATTGACTTCGAAGATATCTAACGAAATATCAAATATTACAGTGTCACCCAGACTTGCACCCTGATAAACATGAAGAGTTCCTAAACCTAACCAACTGCTACCAAACCCTCCTGAAACAGGTTGAGAGGTCACGTGACGTTGGGTCACGTGACGGATCATGTACTCCACCTGATGTGTACTTGTGGGAAGGTGACAACAGGTCAGTGATCACAATATAATAAAATTCTATTTATATTAGTGGATATTATTATTATCATTATGGAGAGGAGCGAGTTATAACACTATTATATTTATTATCTTGACAGTTGCTGTTGTAACTTAAGATTTGAAATTTGTATTCCTTGTATTCCTTGTATTCCTTGTATTCCTTGTATTCCTTGTATTCCTTGTATTCCTTGTCCCTCAGTAGGTTTAAATGGTCTTTTGGTAAAATAACAGTATAACATGTGCTTCAAATTAGCATTAACCTCTAATACTCTTGCAGGATTGATGCCAATTTGAACAGTGATATTTGGTTACAACAAGTTGTCATGTGAGTAAGAATGTTTGCGTGTAACAGATTTTTAAAATCTGTGAACTTACGATTGATGTTAGCATGTAGAAATATTTAAAAATCTGGAATTTGTGACAATGATTTGTTATTCTTCTGCTCGAGTTGACTCTACCCTATATCTCATTACTTTCAGCGCTCACAGAAAAACCCTGCGATTAAGAGAAATCCGCTTGAAAAACAGACGGATTCTGATAATCAGTACAATATTCTTTATTATGAGCCAAATTACTTACTTGCTAGAGTGAGTAATGCACTCGATCGCTTTGTTATTAACTCGATTGTTGCCTACTCCCTTCCCTTGGGAATTAAAATTTCCTGGTCTAGGATATCTATGTTTTATCCTTATCTCAACTAGATCACAGCTAGGCTGTTTTGATCTGCACTATCTACAAATATGAAATGTTTGAACCCTTTCTCTGGAAGACAATTTATCCGCTTTATTTCAGGTTCGACGTTTTGCCACACGAAGAGTATGGTCCACATGTTGTCCAAAGAGTGACGAATATTTTTCAGCCTTATTAATTTTTTAAAAACGGAATTTTGATTTGAACTTATATTTAGAATTTGGTAGGTAAGGGTGCGACAGTTTTATAAGTAATGGCAATGTGTTATTGATCTGTTTGTGGACGCCATCGCCGAACAAGTATGATCTAGGCGAGAGAGCGCAAAATATCAGATTATCAACTTGCGCGCTCATAATCGTACGTGACTCAATATTTTGTAGTTTATTTGACGTTTATTGACGTAAAGTAGGAATAATGGATTCCTTAAAAAGCTTAACATAAACCAGCTTTTACAAACGAATATCCCTTTAGACATGAACATGTATGTTCGCATTTAGTAGATCAGCTGCATCTAAAATCATCAAATCAGTCAGGTATTTGAAAAGTTATATTTTGATTCAGCGTATGAATTATGAGGCGACCTGCATTTAAAATACAAATTTCAGGCTTTTGTTAACAATTATTAAAGAAATCGACTGATCTGTGATCTCCGACCTCAGAACTATGTCTGCCCTATCGAGACTTGGCCTCAGTGAAGCTAAGATAAAAGACACAGAGAAAAATGCAGTTCTCTGCACCACCCTCAACCAAATGATAAGTGAAGCTGATGAGAAAAATGTGGAGATTGATAAGAACACTGGCACTCTGATTTACAGTCTTGCTGGTAAACTGAAGAAGAAGGAGCATTTGCCGGCAATATATGGTCTTATTCTCCAGAAGAAGGTTGGGGATTCTAAAATTTATTTGACGTAATTTTGTTGATCGTGCGTCGTGCGATTTTACATTCAAAAGTAATTATGGTAACGATACAAGTCGCTATTTTCGCTGCAGGAATCTTAAAATTTAACATCGTTTTTCTCTATTAATGATCATAATTCTTTGTTACAGATAATGAACGATATGCAGCTTGTAGCGGCAATGGAATATGTGAAAGCAAACCCCGTGAAATTCGAATTGGATGCTCTAGAAAACGCTTGTGGAGTTGGTGTGACGGTGACTCCTGAGCAGATAAAAGAGGCTGTACTAGAGAAGATAGAGAAAAACCTTGGACAGATAAAAACTCAGAGATACAGGTTTGGATTGCATAATATGCCTAGAAATATATTTACATGTTTTTCTAGATCTTTCTACCCCTTTTTTCCGTGTTCTTGAAATCATATTCCTAAATTTTGTACTAATAAATTTTCTACAACTCAGGTTTAACAGTGGTTCTCTAATGGGAATGATCCGGAAGGAACTCAAATGGGCAGACGGAAAGCTCGTGAAAGCGGAGATAGAGTCTCAAATAGCAGCACTTCTGGGCTCCAAAACTGACGAAGATAACAAACCTGTCCAAAAAATTAAACAGAAGAAAGCTGAAAAGAAGCCGGCAGCCGTTGCCAAGGAAGTAAAAGCAGAAGAACCGCAAGACATGTCTTTCAGTGGGTTCCACAAACCTGGCGAAAATTACACGACAGAGGGCTACGTCATTACGGACCACACGATGAGGTTGATGAAAGAGCACTTGGAAAGAACTGGCGGGAAAATCAGGACCAGGTTCCCTCCCGAACCCAATGGAATTCTGCACATCGGTCACGCTAAAGCTATCAACATTAATTTTGGGTTTGCCAAGTCGCACGAAGGGGTGTGTTTCTTGCGTTACGACGACACGAACCCAGAAAAAGAGGAGGAGAAGTTTTTCACGTCTATCCTAGACATGGTCACGTGGTTGGGCTACACTCCTTACAAAGTCACTCACTCTTCCGACAACTTCCAGGCTCTGTACGACTTAGCTGTTAACCTGATTAAGTCTGGTCATGCCTACGTTTGCCACCAGACAGCTGATGAAATGAAAGGATTTGAAGTGAAAGCCTCCTCCTGGAGAGATAGACCGATTGAAGAGTCGCTCCTACTGTTCGAAGACATGAAACACGGGAAGTTTGATGAAGGAACAGCTACACTGAGGATGAAATGTGTGTTGGAGGAAGGAAAACAAGACCCGGTAGCGTACAGGATTAAATACATCGCCCACCATCGCACCGGGGATGCCTGGTGCATTTATCCCACCTACGATTACACTCACTGCCTATGTGATTCCTTCGAGGACATCACCCACTCGCTCTGTACCAAGGAGTTCCAGAACCGGAGAAGCAGTTACTACTGGTTGTGTAATGTTCTCGAACAATACTGTCCGGTTCAATGGGAATATGGCCGTTTAAACATAGGCTACACCATCATGAGCAAAAGGAAGATCGCTAAACTGATCGCTGAGGGGCTGGTGGCAGATTACGATGATCCGAGGTTGTTTACTTTGACAGCTCTGAGGAGGAGAGGCTTTCCTCCGCAAGCGATCAACACTTTTGTTAAGAAGCTGGGACTGACTGGTGCTCTGACGCAACTTGATCCCCTCATGTTGGAGGCGTGTGTTAGGGATGAGCTGAACCTTACTGCCGGCAGGGTCATGGCTGTTCTTAGTCCACTCAAAGTCATTGTGAGTACTGAGCATATCTTCTTTCATTATGGTTGTAGAATTGCAGAGTTGTATCGTAAATTGTTATTCCAGACGTGCCTTTTTACCTATGAAGGTTTGGAAATTTGTGCTTGGTAATGAATGTTTTCTCATGTTCCTCTGTTTTATTTTTCAGGTGGTAAATAGTGAGGAGAAGTTACCATACTCTGCGACAGTTCCTGACATCCCTGGACAGGAAGCCTCGCATGACATCTCTATTAAAAATACTTTCTACATTGATAGATCTGACTTCAGGACCACCGCCGACAAAGGTAAGAGACCAAGGTAGAATAAGATACCAGTCAGATTAAATCATCGGTATGGATCATTTTTAATCATCACTGATTGATAAGTTGAACCAAATTTAATGCAATAAGTTTATTAATACTGGGAATACTGGGAACACTAATTTTTCACAGGATGAAAATACGGATTGAATATAATGTGGTTAAACAATAAACATCATAGTATCAGAACATCGTAATATAATATAGATTCCGCAAGTCCATTCCATCTTATCTTCCTTCACTCGTCTTATCTACCCAGAGGGAAAGGTCCTGCTGAATTATAATCAGTTACAACTGTATAAGGAGCCTGATCCCGATATTCCCTTCACCGTCTCCTGAATGTCAGAACTACAGGATATCTTGGGCCGTGCAATATTTCCAACTCTCTTCTTATTAACCGAGAGCACCAAGAAGTCGCCCTCCTCTTCCAACTCTAGAGCCTGGATACCGTAGGTGGAGGGGGGGGGGCCATTGGTAGTCATTGGCCCCCCCCCCCCCCGTGGAGGCAGTGAAGTTGAAGTTACAATCATCCATGATCGGGTAAACATCTGATAGGGTTGAGGTCAGGCTACATTGTGAGCCTTTAGTTCCATCCGTGCATGGGGTCCAGTTAGTGATGTTTGCAAGAAGGGATACCTTACTATGGTAACTAGTAGTGTTACTATGGTAACTAACCTGATGATTACCCCTTCTCCCTAGTTTCACCGTTAGTTTCATAGAGATAAGAGGTTGATCCAAGTGATTCATCAGCAAGATATCTCCAATATCTTGCTTATTTGTTCCAGTACCAGTAGTTCTGAATGAGAAAGAAACGAAGCGACCTTTAGCTGCAACATTGAATGGGTTCGTCTTGTCCTTGAGCTTGGAGCACTTCAAGGCTTCAATTCCCAAAACCAGGCACATTAATACCAGTGAAATCATCTCACTAGCCATAACAACGAACGGTTGGAAATAATGAAGCGGGAGCCGTTTATGATGGATATGTTTTTGCTCATCTGTTGAACTATAGTTTCCATGCGGCTATGTATCTGGAATTCTAAGAGTAATTCCATATTTAATGAACTTAAAATCAGTGGTGCTGTAGTTTTATGATCACGATTTTATCATTTTAAATTATCTTTGTCCATATTTACATTGTAATTTGCTTAGTTTCTTGGGTATTTTGCTCACGAAAACTGTTGGAAATAAGATGAAAATCAAAGAATGGTCCACATAATGTATAAATCAAATATATAAATAGTCTGACCCTATCCCACAACTCCATGAGATTGAATTTAACATTTTCTAATGAATATTATGGATGAAATGTTTCACATAAAAGCTCTAATTGTTTAGGTTGTGGAATGTGGTGCAAATCAGAAGTTTGAAAGATGTTATGTAAAACACCATTTAATTCGCTCAGGGCTCCCTTGAAGCTCTCCGAGCTGTTACTCATTGATGTAATTAAAAATATTGTGCGGTGCCTATATAATTAACGAATAATACTCATAAAACTAAACTTGGAAGATGTCCAATTTGTCTCTTATATCATTTCTCGTCAGTCATTGTTCTGATGATTTGTTGATATTTCTGCAGAAAATGAACTTAACAATGTTTGTCAGTTTAGATCATGAGGGTACAGAAGTCTCGTTCCTAGTTGCAGCACATTGGAGATTGGGACATGGAGCGGGGCTTGTTTGTAAAACCGACCTTGGTAATTTCCACTCGGGGGGCAGTGACGTCACAGCCAATATGCGGCAGAGCCAGTTTCCCTATCTCAACGTCGTTGAAGAACAGCTGCAGAAAAACTCCGTCAGTTTCCAGTCTCAAGGAATTGAAGTTGATCTTTTGTTCCGTGTCTTTGAGGAACACGTCGCACGAATCAAAGATAGGGAAAGCCTCGTCGTGTGTGAACATCGGGTCACACAATGTTATGTCTGCTAGGAAATCAGGGCACATAGATCTAAACACAGTGACGAACATTTGGGCCGCCTCATTCCTACTTTTAGCGAGTGCCATCTCCAGCGTCAGCTCTATCACTTCCTCCTCTTCACTGAACAGCACTATAGACCCCATCTTGTCTCGTTTCTTGGTTCCGGAGGTGAGGAGGCCAGAGCGGGGTCGGCTGTACAAGATGGTTCGTCCTGTTGCAGCTACATTGAAGTCCTGAGGGAACAACTGGATAAAACATTATTATATAATAAGAAGAACATGGGGACTAAAATTCAAAAATATCATTATCCTGCTTCCTAGCATCCTTCACATTCAAAGCAAATGTTGGTGCACAATCAAGTGAAACTGAAATCAGACCAACCTGGAGACACCAAGGAAAGAAAGGAAAGTTGCAGTTGTCAAGATATCTGCACATGGCAACAGGTTTCTTGCCTCTAGCCTCGTCCCCTCGTCCTCCTCTACCCGGTTTACCCGGGTTACCGAGTGCAGCCAGCAGCAGCGTTGCCATTATAATCAGAACGATAAGTCGGACCATCTTGCTACTGAGTTAATGATATGCGGTTATTATTTATAAGCTCCTTGGTAATATAAAGTATATGTCCGGACATGTCAACCCCCCCCCCCCCCCCCCCCCCCTATAAAGAGTTCAACGAAATGAAGGGTATTAACCGGAATGAGCAATAATAATTCATGGATAAAATTAGAACGAAATCAAAATATTAATTAAAAAATCACGCTAATGGTCCGCAAAGATGCTCCAAATAGTATTTCCGGCCCTAAAAACTGTAAAGAAACGGATATTTAAACGACAGTCGAAAACTGAAATTGAATTCCTTTTACGTAAAGAGGCGAATTATTTACGCTAAATATTCTGTCTAGATGACTGAAGTTATCGTTCCAAGAAAAGAAAGATTGATGAAAAATTCAACGGAAAAATTTTGCCTGAAAATTCGTAAACAAAATTAATAAAGCCCTCACAAAGATCATTTGCCCCGTATGTGACATTTTAATGACTATATGAAGATTACGATCACTTCTAAGAATAAGGATATTGTATAATATGCAGAACCGTTCGTAAACGATCACAATAAAGTCTGTGTCAAGGAGATAATTTCACTCTTGATCTCTCTATTAATAGAATCAAATGTTTTATAGAAAAAGTGAGTGACTAAATCAAAATTTTCAGTGCGTCAAAATTAATAAAGCCCTCACAAAGAGATCATTTGCCCCGTATGTGCGTCAGATTTGCGAGGAGCCTGAAAAATGTAAAGAATGAATTAAGTTATTCGTCAGAATTTTAGTAGAGACAATTACAAATACCTGGTGCACAATAGCATTTATATGCTAAAAGAGGAATTCATTATTGAAGTTTTGTCATGACGTCACTCGGATCATTTAATTTGCTAAGGATTAGGGGCCTATGGATCAAAAATACAAATGACGTGCCTCTCGGAGGAATGTAATAATGCAGTATGACTCTGATTACTTAATACTGAGCTCAGGGACCATCGAACATTTTAAGTTCGTTATTTATTTCAGTTAATAGATGCTTGAAATATTAGAAAAAAGTAGTGGCGAATTAGATTTAAAAGCGAGGCATGATCAAAAGAATTCAGAAAATAAAAGAAACGAGATGAAACATGTTTTTATAAATCTGTGGTTCAAGATAAACTTAATTTAATAATTCTTTAAATATTTTGAATTCTCTGAATTCATGAGCATAAATTATTGTACCCTTAGTCTTATGAATTTCCATTCATTTCATCAACTTATTGTAGGGGAACTAATCTTATTACTAATATTTACCAATGATGTTTGAAAATATTTCGACTCTGAGAATTAAATCTTATCAGACAGTTTTAACTCTCAATCCTTGCATTATTACGGGGAATTTAATAATATTCGTTGTGATCATTAGGATCAATGCTCCAGGCTCCTAGTGACAGGAACTTGTACGCATAATCTTTAGAGATAAAACCTTGAAGATATGCCAGAAACTCTCAGATTTAAACTACAGACTACTGGGGTATTTCTAATGAAAAGAATCCTCAATAAATTCCAGATTATAGTGACATTACTTTGCAGATTACCGGAGACTGTCCACCGACCAAACAGTGGGTCTGAAGCACGTGGGAATGGTTGCAGCGGTGGTAAAAGTGGATTATGACGCAAGTGGTGAGATATCGGAACTGCACGTAAAACTAACAAAACTGAACGACACAAATAAACCCAGAGCCTTTATCCAGGTGAGCTTTGGAAACTTGATACTCTTCTTAGTTTTCATCAATCATCATCATAATCTGTTTTATTAATGATTACCAAACATATTCCTGGGCAGTTGATGACGTAGAACTATGGACCGGATGCCAATCAGATTAATAAATCTAATTAAGATACAAATAGAAATTGACAACTCCTATTAAAAATCCGCTCTCTGAGATTAAAGCAAAATTTTTAATATAGACGTAAATAATACCACCCCTCAACTAGACTAATAAACATGAAATTATGGGGCCTTAAAAACAATAAATATTGGCGCCGACATCGTTGGAGAGAACGATTGAGTCTTCACCCGAACAGAACTGAATGTATATTTCACAACGAGAAACCGGCACAATTACCAAAAGTGGCTATGAATAATGAATATGGCATACATGTGTTAGCAAGTCTCATAAAAATTAACTCACCAACGATTAAATTTAAAGTTGAGAACTTACATCTTGCAGTCAGGTAATCGTAATGCAGATACAACATTACAAAATTCGATAATTGGCAATGATGACATCATACATCGCATGTCGTATAATTATTACGTACAAATTATGATGAATTACATAATTTCCGCATTTTTTAGTGGTTAAGTAATTACGTAGTAGCGGAGGTAAGAGAATACAGCAGACTGTTCAATCACCGATGCCCAGAGGATCCCGAAGAGGTAAGTGTCGTGCAAATACACAAGAAATATATTTTATAGAATTTGTGGAATTCGGTTGGATTCCGATTCGGTGTGTTAAAATAAAAAAGGTGCCAAAAAGATTTTGTAACACTTTTTTTAAAGATCATGAATACGATGTAGTTACATTGAAACGTCGAGTAAACTCCTTTCCCTAATAAGAGCATTTTTACTTGTCGCAGTAACCGGGATAAAGATAATTTTACACAGAATACATTACAACAATGCGACTTATAAACAATACTCCAATCCGGATTTTACAAAAAGCTAGGAATAAATTATTTATGACCGAAGCTCTGAGTGGCTATGAGGGGCGAGGGCAGACGGTATTTATTAAATTTGAAGTGATAACAACATTTTAAGTATTCAGTCGTGAGCACGTACAGCTCCAAATGAAAAGTTTGATAAGGGAAGCTTCCGGAAGAATTAAACAAAATAAATTGAAACATTCTAGCATGAAATTATTGTGTCGATTGCAGATTCAAGGTGCATTACCCTGTAAAGTTTGAAAATTAGGCTTAAGGAAAGGAAATTTAGCAATAAGAAATGATATTTAAAGAAATTGTAACATATTTGTAGCAGGTTTTGATGCTAATTTTTTGATAAAATTCAGAAATTACATCCAACAATGTGAATATGTGACACTGACGATAGCGGATATTAAGACGCTGTATAAATGCCGCGGAGCGTGTAAATAAAATAGGCTTTCAGGAAATGATTTTAGAAATCAAAAAATTACAGCTTTCATAAATATGGGTTCATTCCGCGGAAGCCAGCCTAACTATGTGCGTACTTGATTTTTATATTTTCCCTGCTCCAGAACCTAATTATTCCTGTAAACCTGCCGCCCCAAAAACTATGTGCGTACCTGATATTTTTATTTTCCCTGCTCCAGATCCTAATTATTCTTGTAAACCTGCCGCCCCAAAAACTATGTGCGTACCTGATATTTTTATTTTCCCTGCTCCAGATCCTAATTATTCCTGTAAACCTGCCGCCCCAAAAACTATGTGCGTACCTGATATTTTTATTTTCCCTGCCCCAGATCCTAATTATTCCTGTAAACCTGCCGACCCAAAAACTATGCGCGTACTTGATATTTTTTCTTTTCCCTGCCCCAGATCCTAATTATTCCTGTAAACCTGCCGACCCAAAAACTATGCGCGTACTTGATATTTTTTCTTTTCCCTGCCCCAGATCCTAATTATTCCTGTAAACCTGCCGACCCAAAAACTATGCGCGTACTTGATATTTTTTCTTTTCCCTGCCCCAGATCCTAATTATTCCTGTAAACCTACCGCCCCAAAAACGCTGTAACACGGAGACTTGTCAATGACCACCTATATGGCAAAAATCCAAAATTCTTGTTATTTATTCTCTCATAATTTGGCATTTGCATTCTTGACGGCTTCTATTCGCAATAACCAATGGCCAAAATGGTGAAAAATACAATTTTCACTCCAAAAGTTGATGGCAAAATTGAGGAAAAAAGTCGATTACTTCTTTTCCATCAGTAACATTCCTAGTTCCTAAAAAATGTTTCTTAATTGCCAGGTTCCCGGAGGATTCCTCACGGACGTAAACACGGCCTCCCTAAAAACCCACTCCGCCTACCTAGAATCCCGCGTGTCGGGCAGTACCGAGCACACTTCATATCAGTTCGAGAGAATAGGGTACTACACTGTGGACCAGGATTCTACTAGCGGTAAACTGGTCTTTAACAACACCGTGTCTTTGAGGGAGGACAGTGGCAAGAGCTAATCTTATTGTTTAAGTTATAGTGCCGTGATATATTATCATTGATAGGTTTTTATTTAGTTTAGTTGATAAATTATTGGTTTTGCAACAAAATTAGGGATTTCTTTATTTATAGTATTGATTATGATGTCGTGCATATAATACATATATACCTTCTTGGATGGCTTAGGTATGTCCTGGTGGCATTTTCTTACTAACACTATTGAGACCTCATCTTTTTAATTTATTTTAGTGATTTTTCTTAATAATTGATAGATTTAGAAGAGGATCCGTTACATGGAGTTACGTTGTAGGTCACATTTTCATCCGCAATTTCAATTTTGATATTGTATTACTTGATTTTCCCCTTTTTCGCATGTGTCATCAAGTTACTCAGAACAAGTAACCTAAATTTTATAATTACAAGATGTCTTAGCCATATCAAATTCTAATTGTATTTGAACTACACTTCTCTAACATAAACCTCACTATAGGACTAGAATGTAAAGAACCAACCAGTACAATCTGAACTAAACCCAGCCGCCAGACTAACCAACAAACCGCTAGTTTTCTTCAGGATAATCTCACCTAAACGTACATTGATTGTCTCTACACGAAGCGGCCCTCGGCTAGAACTGGTGATCTGATCTCAACCTCTGATAGTACACGTGCAGTCTTTCTTAGCACTTTAAATATCGCTTGGAGATCAGGCCGGTAATTTTATGTTACTGCGGGCTATACCGATTGTGCGACCAATCTGCGTCAGGTAATTTGGAAATCTCATTTCTTTGATTTGTTTATATGCGTTCAGTTATCATACCACTGTGATGTTTTGGGTCAATATTTTTAACAATAAAGGCATTTGGTGTCTTATCTTTTATGAAATTTAAAATTCACCACGGAAATTAAAACTTTAAGTTTACCGGTGTAACTTAATGAACCTTATCGGTATTTGAGGGGGTTCATTAGGCGTTCATCTATCTAGAACTTAAGGTGTTTAGCTATGTGTTACGGACTTGATTCCTAGCCAGATTTTTTAATTTCTTTCCCCTGTGCTTAGTGAGTATGATTTCGGGTTGTAAAATCTATATATAGATTTCTCAACCCGAAAGATATATCATTAATACGGACGGAACTAATGCAAAGTACCAAAGTCTTAGGACATACGATATTTAGGAAATTGTAAAATTATTCCTCCAAATAAATGTCAAGTCCTACCCTAACAGATGTATAACCCACTACGAAGTATTGGACATACCTAAAACAGCAACAAAATCTGACATCAAGAAGGCGTACCTAGAGAAAGCTAAAGAATGCCATCCTGATCTTAACCCCGATAATGAAAAAGCAGCTGTTAAATTTCAGGAGGTTTGTCTCGATATTGATTGAAGTTTTATCCGCTAAATTCGAAAGTGTAGAACGACTACTAGTACTCCTAAAAGTCGCTGGAATAATTTGTTTTGTTATTTGTTACTTGTTAGTGACATCCTTTCTTTCCGGTCTTAAAGAGTCAAACCGTACGTGTTATTTCATATTTCCCAGACAATTTTTCTCGGACAAGTTTCATAATGCCCTAACTATTATATAATTATATTAATCATATGAATTGTTTTTGTTTCTTTGAGGCGGCCTCCTTTTTTCATTTTACAATTCCGTAATCAAATTGTAAAATTATGGATTGAGACAACATTATTTAATGTTATTACGTTATTAACGTAGAAGATTGCATGTCTATAACATCATGTCTTTTAACGTAAGGAAAGACGATACCTTCTTAATACTGCAATTTATGGTCTTTTGAGAAGTGTTATTAGATATATATTTCAATCACCCTTCGAATTTAGCTGTCCGATTTTTGCGAAGACTACGCAGAATTCCAAGTAACTATAAAATACAAACCCTGCTTGTTACACATACCAAGGAACGTTAAAAATTCCTGAACTAACAATACCTACTATAACCCGGGCCTATTTACCAGATACAAGAAGCGCACGATGTGCTGATAAACTCTAAACTACGTGCACAGTACAACCACAACATGAACCAGGAGAGTTACTACGGCACTCAGAGGACACACAAACCAGAAGACGGTTCTAGGTCAGTGTTCTGTCTCCCTACAAACTTACCTCCTGACCTTTCACTACAAATCCAGGATATCTTTCTTTAACTTGTTGATTGTTTAAGGGGACAGGGGGGGGGGGGGGGGGGGGGAGTCTTTATTTTCAAAATCAAATAAAACATTTTCTAAGGCCTATCTTAAAATTCTGATCGAACAGAATCTCTTAAATGGTCCTTAGAACATATCCTGAAAGTTTCAAGGTGATTCCTCAAACAATGTAGGAGATTTTTAGAATCGATTTTCAGGGCGCGCGATCGAAAATTGCTCGCGCAATACAATTACACATGAGCGCTGACCTTTGACCGGCGATAACTTCGGAACAATATTTTTCCATGGGACCAAAAGCAGCTGATAGATATCACTCCTCTCTATTAGAAACAACTATAAAATCAATTTCGAGAGAAATTTCATAAAGCACCCCCCCCCCCCCTGTCCCCTTAACTTCAATTTAATGATCAATGATCATCAGGAAAAGCAACGTCAGGACGCATGGTGTAAATAACCAGTACAACAGGAGAAGAAATAACGAGTTTCACGATAATCACCGTGTTAATCGAGGTAATGCAACCTTCAGCCAACACGATTAACTAAGATCAATACGATATGTACAATTAATTAATGAGTCGCAGGGTATTGAAAAGAAAAATCGAAGATTTATGTGAATCGTTATCAAGGTCACAGATTAATTCGAAAAAATATTGATGCGAGAATATCGTATCGTTTCACAAGCCTGTAAATATGATTTAGTTGGATTAAAATCCATCGAAGCTTAACCACAAATCTAATTATGATCTCTTCTTAAAAAGAGATTTTTCCTTTGTTGTAGTGCTTCTATAACATTTCGCGATTTCGTCAATACATCACAATCGTTTTTGTGATAATATGCACAAAATATCTGCACCATTTTTTGATTGGTACCCTTTTCAATGACGTCACGACCCCTACCAGCTAAGTTAAATGATACAATAATTAATTTTTGCTGAAAGTTTGCTTTCGGGAATGAGGTTTGTAGTTGAAACGCGAAATGAAAATTGCAGCAGAATTTGATTAATTCCAATTTGGGGTAAAGGGAGAAAGCGCCGGAAACATTTGCAAAATATTCGTACAGAAATAACTCTCCAATGAGACAAGATAATTGAGATAAGATAATTGAGATAAGATAATTGAAGCAATTTGTAAGCAAGCTCCGGAAATGTTTTGGAATTAAACGAGTGTCTTCTAGAAATCAAGTACGATATTTGCAGGGGGGGGGGGGCAAGTGGATATTTGTAGATATTTGGATAATGTCATCCACTTTTTTCGTGAATTATCCATTACAATAATCTACAAATATCTACATTTATCTACAAAAAATGTATATCTCAAATATGTGCCCAGAAATTCTACTGAATTTTTGGAGATAAATGTATAAATTTGTAGAATTTGTAGAATTTTCGTGAATTATCCATTGACAATAATCTACAAATATCTACATTTATCTACAAAAAATGTAATCTCAAATATGTGCCCAGAAATTCTACTGAATTTTTGGAGATAAATGTATAAATTTGTAGAATGTCATCCACTTTTTTCGTGGATTATCCACTCTACATTAATCTACAAATATCTACAAATATCCACTTGGCCCCCCCCCCCCCCCCCCCCTTTGCAGCCGTTATGCCAATTTGTATAGCTATGGACAATTATTTGAAAATATTTTGCAATGAAGTATTTAAAGTTCAAAATTCTCGAATCCCTGTGGAATCCCGTGCAGGAAACCCATCCTGATGTTTTAATCTTATAGATAACCACAGTTTAGTAAGGGGAAAAGTGGCACTCCGTTGGATTTGAATGTTCACAAGGATTTCTCAACGGAATATGGTAGTTAAGACCCCTACGAACATAATTAGACTTGTTGCCAATTTTGTATCTCAACAGAAACACCACTTTTACCACTTTTTACCACCTTTGTACCACCTGTCTGGTTTGCCAAATATCTTTAGTTGTGAACGTCGTAAAAGGCTGCAAATTAACCTAGAATGTTTATCTTATCAAGGAGTAAAACTTTTGTGTGAAAAATTTTTACATTGGACAATCAGCTAATTGGATAATTACCAATTAGTTAATCACCAAAAAAAGTGAAAATTTTTTATTGGCTCAAAATGATTGAAATCGTTTGAAACACGGAGAAATGTAGTTTTTAGAAAAACTTCAAAAATTTTTCACTTAAAAATTTTTTTCGAGACTTGGAAAAAAGTTTGAAAATTTAAAAATATTTTTTTCCGCCAAAAGTGATCGAATTGCATGAAACGTGGATAAAAATGCTTTGCAGAAAAACTTCGAAGATTTTGAGATAGGGGAATACTAAAATCATCAATATTTGAAGTTGGAGTTCAGTAAATCTCGACATATTTTAGTAATTAGGAATAGCTTAGCGGAAAGGGCTGAACCTGAAAAAGGTTAACCACACAATATTAGAGTTTCATAACTAATTACAATACAGCTTTATCAAATTCCACATAAAGAAACAGCACAAAAGGACCATTTAAGATCGAACCGATTTTACCTGCTGTACTATCATTTTATTGATTTCAATGATCAAAACCTCTGTACCGTCAATCTTGCCAATCTATACCGGGTATCTGAATGTACCGGACCTCTTATTTACCTCTATAATTAGACCCAGTTGTGCAAGAAATGCGATTTCTCACAGGGGTTTCTTTTAACTGTGCACTTTTTGTCACTCTCGCAACTCGCAAGAGGCCCGGTATTATAGGGGGGTATAGGAAGCGAGTGTAAATATACCTTCCATCATCCACTGTGGCTTTTTTGTATTGTGAATGCGCATGCCGCTTCGTTTGCTATGCCAGATACCTCGAATAACCCCCATATGTCATTGCCAGGGTCGGGATAGAGCTGGAGATAGCATTGAAAAGTTGCTAGAAATAGCTAGATTTAGAGTAAACTGGTGGTAGCTGGGTGGTGCTAGCATGGATGTAGCAGAACGTAGCTACACGGGGTTTCATTGGAGTTGGTTATTTTAATGGCCAAAGAGTGCCGGAACTAAAGTTACTTAAGATTGCAGTTGAGGGGCAGTGTAAACCACGGTGTAGTCAGGGACACAGAGCTACAGTGCAGGAGTACTGCAAGTGCAAAAGAACAGTGCAAGTGATACAGTATGCAACAGTAAAACGCCGAAGAAGGAGATAAGATTGTGGCTGCAGAGGAGGAGAGGAGCTGGAACCTGATTTTGTTTGGGTTGAAAGAAGAGTAGGAAGAAGAGTTTCCTGCTCTGGTAACTGCATTTTTGGAAGAGGTGGGGTGAGAACTTATTTTCAAGCGACAAGGGTGGGCTGGAAGCAACCAGGTACAGCTATCCGACCTATTAAGATCACCGTCCTGAGCTTAACAGCCTTTCATCAGAATCTGATGAAAACAGAGAGACTGACCCACCCTTTTTAGATTGATTGATCAAAGTGAGTCTCTTTAGCCCTCTTCTTCTTTAGAGCTTTAGGTTAGTGATCAAACTCTTCGCTACTCGCTCTTCACTGGATCTATCAGGACAGATTCACATCTTTTTAGGTCTCAACCAGCCTTAGTTTTCCTGTTTTCATCATGTAGTACGTTCTGCTACCTCCATTTTAGCACCACCCAGCTTCCATCAGTTCACTCTAAGTCTAGCTTCGTCGGCGTTTTACTGTTGCAGACTGTATCACTTGCACTGTTCTATTGCACTTGCAGTACTCCTGCACTGTAGCTCTGTGTCCCTGACTACACCGTGGTTTACACTGCCCCTCAACTGCAATCTTAAGTAACTTTAGTTCCGGCACTCTTTGGCCATTAAAATAACCAACTCCAATGAAACCCCGTGTAGCTACGTTCTGCTACATCCATGCTAGCACCACCCAGCTACCACCAGTTTACTCTAAATCTAGCTATTTCTAGCAACTTTTCAATGCTATCTCCAGCTCTATCCCGACCCTGGCAATGACATATGGGGGTTATTCGAGGTATCTGGCATAGCAAACGAAGCGGCATGCGCATTCACAATACAAAAAAGCCACAGTGGGGGCACAGTGGATGATGGAAGGTATATTTACACTCGCTTCCTATACCCCCCTATAATACCGGGCCTCTTGCGAGTTGCGAGAGTGACAAAAAGTGCACAGTTAAAAGAAACCCCTGTGAGAAATCGCATTTCTTGCACAACTGGGTCTAATTATAGAGGTAAATAAGAGGTCCGGTACATTCAGATACCCGGTATAGATTGGCAAGATTGACGGTACAGAGGTTTTGATCATTGAAATCAATAAAATGATAGTACAGCAGGTAAAATCGGTTCGATCTTAAATGGTCCTTTTGTGCTGTTTCTTTATGTGGAATTTGTGGAATAAAAGCTGTATTGTAATTAGTTATGAAACTCTAATATTGTGTGGTTAACCTTTTTCAGGTTCGGCCCTTTCCGCTAAGCTATTCCTAATTACTAAAATATGTCGAGATTTACTGAACTCCAACTTCAAATATTGATGATTTTAGTATTCCCCAATCTCAAAATCTTCGAAGTTTTTCTGCAAAGCATTTTTATCCACGTTTCATGCAATTCGATCACTTTTGGCGGAATAAAAATATTTTTAAATTTTCAAGTCTCGAAAAAAATTTTTAAGTGAAAAATTTTTGAAGTTTTTCTAAAAACTACATTTCTCCGTGTTTCAAACGATTTCAATCATTTTGAGCCAATAAAAAATTTTCACTTTTTTTGGTGATTAACTAATTGGTAATTATCCAATTAGCTGATTGTCCAATGTAAAAATTTTTCACACAAAAGTTTTACTCCTTGATAAGATAAACATTCTAGGTTAATTTGCAGCCTTTTACGACGTTCACAACTAAAGATATTTGGCAAACCAGACAGGTGGTACAAAGGTGGTAAAAAGTGGTAAAAGTGGTGTTTCTGTTGAGATACAAAATTGGCAACAAGTCTAATTATGTTCGTAGGGGTCTTAACTACCATATTCCGTTGAGAAATCCTTGTGAACATTCAAATCCAACGGAACCCTTAAATCGACCACTTTTCCCCTTACTAGTTACCAGGGCTCTCATAAAACTATTCCTAACATTCCAACCAACATAACTAAAATTGTACAGATAACTACAGTTACCCGGGCAACCAGAAGGACTTTTACACGGACCCCTACTCCTCGGTCCTTAGCCGGAGTATAGCTGACCAGACACACTACGTGTACATGTTAGGACTGGGAGTTGTGGGGATCTTCTTGTATGGTATTGTCAGCTTGGTTAACGGGTGAGTACTCACTTTAACATTGAGTTATCTGGTGTGGACTGTGGAGTGTTTGTTAATCTAATTCATGTGGTATGCGAACAAGCATTTTTTCCGGCGTTCCAGCAAAAAATAAATCATCGCGATTTTTCTTGGATGAGTGCAGAATGCAGATGAATAAGATTATGATAATGCGGTTACATTGACGTCAACATGTTCAGGGTCAAGGAGGAAGTGAACGATGGAAGGCACGGTAAATACAAAATGGTTGAGAACCAGTTTGCAAATGCAAAAGCTAGGATGAATAATTCTGAAGGCTTCTGGTCCAAATTTAGGTAAAATTACATTTTGTTGATCTAGTTTTTTTTTGATAACTCTTTTAAAACAAGTCCTGTTTTATCTACCTAAGCCATCCTCACGGGCACACATCCGGCTGAACATGAGCTTCATTAGTTGAATATTGCAGCAAAGTAGATTACCCAAAAAGAGAAACCAAGAGCCTGTCAGAACCACGCCGTTACGCCTACAGCGCTGGGCAGGATCAAGCAATTAGGGATCTTTCGCAGGCAACAAAATTACCGTCAGTACCAAACGTTTTCTATAATATGTCTATACCACAAGGACAAAAGGAAATCACGGCACGTGCGGAATCGCGATTTTTCCCATTCTCCGCGACAAATCGCGATTATTTCAGTTCTCCACGAAAAATTACGAATTTTCCTTTAAATCTGAGTGCCAAGTATTATATGGAACCAATCACATCCACAGCCTTCCGAATGTATGTACCGACTTCAGAAGCTCATAACGATCAGGGTAGCATGAAACATGTATGAACATATTGTAATGAACAAGAGTTAGATTCCAGAAAAACTTTGAAAAAATTCGACTTAGAAAATTTATGGTCCGAGTAATTCTCGATACGAGAAGGTACTACTACTACTTACTAGGTACGGACTTCAGAAAACCGAACAAAATATGTTAGGCTCATAATGATCAGGGTAGCATGAAACATGTATGAACATGTAATGAACAAGAGTTAGATTCCAGAAAAACTTTGAAAAAATTCGACTTAGAAAATTTATGGTCCGAGTAATTCTCGATACGAGAAGGTACTACTACTACTTACTAGGTACGGACTTCAGAAAACCGAACAAAATATGTTAGGCTCATAATGATCAGGGTAGCATGAACCGTGGAAAAATTGGTTATCCACTTAGAAAACTTAGACATAAAAACTTATACCACTAGACATAAGTTGACCACTAGACATAAAGTTAACCACTAGACACCCCAATTAATGTCTGGAAAACTGCAAACATTCAGAAAACGATACCTAGAGGCATGAGGCCCTCTTATGAATATGAACAAAGGCAAATATGCGGAAATAACATAATACGTATGTGATGTAAAAGGTGTTAGGCATAAGATTAGTTAGCAGTTAATCTGTTAAAATGTTAAGTGATATTTGGAACAATGACCAATTGTTAAGACGATTAATCTACCTTATCGGACCTTATTTGGACGGACATTAATTGAACGCTGGAGGCCTTAAAGTTCATCTTAATGTCCGTTCAAATAAAGTCCGTTCATTTAAGGTCCGTCCAAGTTAAAGTCCTTTGAATTTTTTTCAAAAATTCGAACTTTTTGTCCAGAATATGACAACTATGAGAACTTTATTGCATATTGTGCCGTAAGTTAACGACGGAAAGGTTCTCCTTGGTCTGCCGGAGGCACAGAAAACTCTACTAGTATATGATGTTTTCAAGGGGCACTTTGCGGAAAAAGTCAACGAAATTATGGCACTCAACAACATACTAACATAGTTCATGAGCTAGTCCCCGCCAACATTACAAACTTGTTCAAGCTTCTACATATATTACGGTAAATCGTGTTGCCAAGGACATTGTCTATTAGACGAGACTAAAGAGTTTCTCCAATATAAAATTGATTTATAGATTGCAACGGCCCTTTAAGGGGGGAGGGGGGGCAAATGGGTATTTTTTTGTGAAACTTGATTTCGAGAGTTGACCAACAAACTAGGACCAGTGACCGAACTTTTGAGGGGGTCCCGGACCCCAACCGCCAAACGGTACCCGCGGGGCAGCCACGCCCATATTTGGTCCAAATTAGGCCGAATTTATCCAAATACCCTGAACATGCCCCATACCCATATTTTAGGTGCTCTACTTGTAGCTAGTGGTATCCTGAACTATGAAATTTCATCAAGATTGGACGAAAAAATGACTGAGTTATGAGCAAAAAACCATATGCCCATATTTGGTCATACGCACCAAATTTGGTAGATTTCGTCCCATAAATTAGGTAAATATCAATATTTTTGAATGAAACTTACTTTATATGAAAGGTACGCCTAAACTATGTATTCTCTGTAAGTTATAGCTTTATATCTGTTTAAATGTGGATACTAAGGCGAAAAAACCACAAAAAATAAACTAAATTGCCCCCCCCCCCCCCCCCCCCCTTAAGCGCTTGGTACATCGACTTTAATTCTATTTTAAGTCTATATAATTATCTGCACCCGGGGGTCTTCCGCGAAACAATCTTTGTCCAACTTACGAACTAACATACGAAGATTTTGCATTTATAATGCGTATCTGTATCCATGAAACACAGTTATGATCATTTGACTTCCTTAAGTTACGAACTTTGGCGTGCAGTTACGAACTACCAAATTTTTCGCCTTAAGTCCACAAATAATTAGTAATGTGACACTTCTAATGAGTTTTTTTCTACTTAACTGTTTACGAACTTCTTAAGTTCGTGCGTAACATGATAGAAATGGGATTAGTTCGTAAGTACGGGTTGGGGTGTACTTACGATCAAAATATTAGTTCTTAAGTCAGAAAAATACTCATTATTCTCAGGCTGACGTAGTCAATCAATACAATTCTATCCCAAACAAATTTGGATTATAACGTGAACGTATGTTTCAACATTTTTAATCAGAGTAAATAAAAGGTAATGATTCTACAATAGAATCGTAAAATTAAGATTAGCATTATTGGTATTAGATAGGGTATTATACTATCGTCATGCTATTATTATAACTAAAACATTTATACAATATACATGCATATAATAACTTTCACTTAAAATACGTATCTGTAATCAATTTCCGGGTCATGAACCCCATTAACAAGCTGTTATTTGACGGCTGCGAATTAGGTCCCTGTCTCGCAGCTGCCTCCCGAGCCTCATTTTCTTCTCGTATGTCGTCCTCAATATCAGCTGCGATCGGGAAAGGAATGTTCCGATTCCTGCAGTAATTATGAAGGACGACACACGACATAATGATCTGGCAAAACATCTCAACGTCGAATGGAATGGCACCACCAGATTGCTTGCAGGTGCATCTGAATCGGGACTTGAGTGTTCCTATCGCTCTCTCGATAGTACATCGACATTTCTTGTGATGTTTGTTAAACATCATCTCACCAGCTGAAGTTGGATCCAAATATGGAATCATCATGTGGGGGCGGAGTTCATACCCCGAATCTCCAATAAGCCATCCTTTATAATTCCTAGGCTGACTCAACAAGAAATCGTCCATGCGCTCTTTAAGCCCACAATTTTTCCAGATGGTCTTGTCGTTGACCGATCCAGGCCATTTTACAAAGGCATCGAGAAATCTAAGATTGGCATCACATACCAACTGAATATTCATGTAATGTCCATCGGGCTTCCGCCCAACGTAAATATCTTCGTTTACAGGGGGAGCTTTTATTTTGATTTGTGTCCCATCGACAGCCCCTAGACACGCAGGGAACTTTCCATAATCAACGAAGCCTTTCTTCGTCATTGCTACATTTTCTGGTCCAAAATCGTATCGAACGTCCTCCGATCCTAGACTAGACAGTGCCACAGAGACATTCTTTATGCATTTGTAAATTGATCCATGGGACAAATGAAAATCTCCAGTGTTTTTTAGGCTCATGATGGAGTTACCAGTAGCGTAATAGCGTAACGCTACCAAGAGCTGTACATCTATAGGAAGTCCACCGTTAGTTGATCTCTTAACAGCCGGATGCTCCTGAATCCTCTCGGCAAAGTGCTGTAGACCTTCTTTATCCAACCGATACTGGTCGATGAAATCTGGGTTTGATATTCCTGCCAGGTAGGATGAGACATCGCACTGTTGTCGAGGGTTCGAATATGGTCTGTAGTTAGTCATTTTTGCAGCGTTTTCTCGCCACCAAGTGAAGTGCAATGGAAACATATCTGAAGTGAACTATACGTGAAGTGAGTTCACATTTTAAAAGTGGAATTTTGAACATCTAAAATGGTACGGCAGTATTTATGTCCATTTCACATGTTACGTATTATGTACGGTAAATCCTCACAGCCACTGTCAGCTATAAGTAAACACTAGAATTAATAAACTATAAGTATAAGGATGAAATTAGATTGGAAACATTACGAAGTTACAAGGTTTGTTTGACTAAACTGTTTGCCCACAAATGAAATTTAAAACGGTGGTCGGTGGCCAAAAGGTATCCTTTTGGATATTTTTATAGTGATCAGAATCTGTTCCACGTATTCGTTTTGATATTTTACTGTTAACTTAAGCTCTCTGTGATTAAAAACCTTGTTTGATATGCAATCGGATAACGAAGCATCGCAATCGTTGGAGTATGACTGTGTAATTTCGCCTCAACAAAGTCAAACTGTCTCAAACATTGCACGCACATTGAAGGACCAACCCAAAGGAAAAGGAAAACAAATAAAAAGAAAACGTAAGAACTCTAGCGTTCAAGATGAAGATCTTAAACCTGCAAAACAGAGTAGTAGAGCACGCAATTTCACCGAAGATGAAACGTGTCTCATTGTAGAAGAGGGTAAAAAGTCGTTAAGGCTTCTCAAGGGACGATTTGGACCATCAGTCACAAACGATTTAAAGAAACGCAGATGGCAGGAGATCACTGACCTAGTGAATCAGCTGAACGGTCAAAACGACAGGACCGCGGACGCTACCAGAAAAAAGTTTCATGACGTGATGAACTCTGCAAGGTCAAAGCTAAGAGAACAAGTTCGAGATATAAAGAGGACGGGCGGAGGTCGGAGTACTGCACCAGCAATGACTCCTTCGGAAGCTACGATTATCGATGTCATACCGGATAGCGTTATAAGTGGGTTAGACTGTGGGTTTGACAGTAACAGTAAGCCAGTGACCCCAAATCCGAAAGCAATCCCGCGAACTCCAATATCCCATGTGCTGAAACGGTCGACGCACATCTTGTTTAAGGACGGATATGACACTGATGATACGGAAATATCGTTCGATGATATTGCAGGTATTGCAAATTATTCTTGATTCTAACAACATGCCCAATCAATTATTTCTAAATGTCTAGAAATTGCAGAAGTTACGTTATGTCGATCCACCGATCACTTTAATCTCATTAATTGTCTTTAAAGACAACATTTTTTGTAAGGCTCGATTGAACAAAATTTCAGGAGATACAGTTAGAAATATGTCATCGTCTCCTGCAGACTCTGTGACAACAACACTACTGAACTCTACTCTGCGGATACCATTTGCAGATGATGACAACCCTATTGACCGTGACGATGATAATGATCCCGTTTTCGTAGTTGGACGTGGAATTGGTTCTGCTTTTAGTCCAAATGATTATTTTAGTCAGAGTGCTGATTTAGGTGCAAGTGCTAGTGATGGTGCTAATCAGAGTTCTGGCACAGATGCTAATGCTGGCACTAGTGCTGGTGCTGGTGCTGGTACTAGTGCTGGTGCTGGCACTAGTGCTGGTACTAGTGCTGGTACTAGTGCTGGTGCTGGTGCTGGTGCTGGTACTAGTGCTGGTGCTGGCACTAGTGCTGGTACTGGTGCTGGTGCTGGTACTAGTGCTGGTGCTGGTGCTGGTGCTGGTACTAGTGCTGGTGCTGGCTCTAGTGCTGGTGCTGGTGCTGGTGCTGGCACTAGTGCTGGTGCTGGTGCTGGTGCTGGTACTAGTGCTGGTGCTGGTGCTGGTACTAGTGCTGGTGCTGGTGCTGGTGCTGGTACTAGTGCTGGTGCTGGTACTAGTGCTGGTGCTGGTGCTGGTACTAGTGCTGGTGCTGGTGCTGGTGCTGGTGCTGGCACTAGTGCTGGTGCTGGTGCTGGTGCTGGTACTAGTGCTGGTGCTGGTGCTGGTACTAGTGCTGGTGCTGGTGCTGGTGCTGGTACTAGTGCTGGTGCTGGTGCTGGTGCTGGTGCTGGTGCTGGTGCTGGTACTAGTGCTGGTATAAATACTGGTGCTCGTTCTAATGCAGGTGCGGCAAGAGCGCCGCCAATTTCGAGTAACCGTACTGTTACTCGTGATGTCAGAAGAGCTGAGTAGAAACAATTGTTAGACCGGCAGGATACCATGAACGCGTATTTAAAACAGATCGTTCAGCTCATGAAACTGAAGCTACAGATGAAATATCCGCAAGGAAATTTCAATTTATAAATACATAGATATTCTTTATTATATACTTTGAAGCATGGGATGATAACATTATACCAGGACTATATTATATCAGGACTACTAAAAGTTTTACAATTTAACTATTCATTGTACATCGTTTTAAAAAATGAAAATGTTTATTCGTTGTATATAACCTATGCAATACAGAAAATAACACACAAAATAACACACAAAATAACACACAAACCTTAACAAAGGCAGAACCAAAATGTAGTAACCCCTGATCTCGATGCAAATTAGATTGCGAAGACAGCATTTTAAATTTGATACTTCCAAACAAGGAGCTCTGAGATCCCTTATTTGGTGGTAATTATCACACACGATGGTCCGCTAATTGTATCAATGATGAGAGACTAAGTTCGTAAACTCCGGTTCGCGGAAGACACTCTCTCTAATAATTTTCTCAAAGTTACGAAGTAATAGTTTCGTGGATGAACTTAGTGATAGTTCGTAAGCTGTTATTAATACGTAGGAACTTACGTACTATGTTACGAAGAATTTTCGCGGAAGACCCCCTGGGAATCAAAAACTGCAAAATCTTACAGCTTCGGGAAATTATATTACCACAATGATATCAGAGTTCAGACTACGCAATATGTAAGTCAACGAATAAAATCCCATGGAAAAAGCGCTCTTGGTGAATCGCTAATGAGAGCGGCAACTGGAAAAAGGACGGTCAAGCAAAACCCTTGCAAATCTGATCGAAGATATTCCCTCTAAGAGTTACTCCCAAGCTCCCACACTGTAAAACACTAAATCATGTCGAGTCCTAAATAATGGTGATCAGTGCAGACCAAACAGCAAAGCCAAAAAAAAGAAAAGGGGGGACCCCCAACCCATGTAGGCGTAGCTGAGACACCTCACAGCAAGTAGACGAAAGTGGCTCTTGCTTGTGAAAGGTGTATCAACTCCCCGCTTGGTTCATCTAGGCCTGATGGAGTTCTCTTCCAATTATTCAATTAGACAGTTATATATAGTATAGCCTTCTGAAGCAGCCCACAAGTGAGCCAGAAAGGAGGTTAACTTATTTTATTCCAGCTGTTGTGAGCCTAATGATCATTATAAAAGTCTGGAAATAGAGATCAAGTTTCTAGCTGACTCATTGAAACTGAAAAGACGTTGAAACTGGGATAAAAAACATTACACGAACGCCCAAAAAGATGAACCAATTGATATGAGCAACGTTTAAAATTTAACAGCGTTTTAACGTTGTATTTAATTTTAGATTGTGAATGAAAAGTTCTTAAACGTTTTATAGGCCAACGTTGGTTAATTTTAAAGGTTAATTTTTTAACGTTGAACTATTTCATGCACGAAAACCCATTTGATGAAGATGATATGCGATCATTTAACACCGAACATAATATAGACAAAAACTTATGAGGGTAAAGGAAATATTTTTACGAACATAATGATAATATGCCATAGGACTACCAGTGCTGCACGCGTGGTTAAAATCGTCGGCGGCGGCGTAATCGGCGTGAGGTCACGTGATTTCGCGGATTAAATTTTCCCCTAGAATAATGCCATGTGGAGAGCAATTTTTAACAGTTTTGAATTTAGTAGTGTATTGCTTAAACATGTGTAGATCAACGGGAAAATATCGGCATTAGCGATGACTCATGCCTGCTACAGTATCCACTCGTGTAGAAATGATATAGAAAATAATATGGTCTGAAATGTTGGATTTCGTTCAAAAATTCTTGCAAAAGATTACGAAACGGCGCATTCGGCGTATAAACAGGTTCACGCCCTGTACGCCGTTTGAAAACGGCGGCGGCGTGGCCGGAAAATAATTAGCGGCGGCGTGCAGCACTGAGGACTACTTGTTACAGAACCACGTGCCTAAGATTAAGAACAACTTGTTAACTTGAAGAACCGTGGAAATTTCTGCGAATTCGCCGCGATTTTCGAGAATTTCTCCGCGATTTCGCCTAGTTTGGCTTGTCGCGGCGCCGTGATTTTTGGCCTATATAATCGCGATTTTCTTTTGTTCTTGCTTTACCATTTCGAATATTGTTGCAAAAAATTGCAATTAACATCATATGCTTTTCATGACTACCTGCCGTCGATATCCCGCTCTGCGAACTTTAAACCAAATTTTTGGCAACTTGTGAACGATCCCTTCATTCCGCAAACAAAACTCTACCTAAACTCTTATTTCAGTATAAGCCCGAGATCATCAAAGCCAGTGAGCGACACTGTGAAGTATGTGTGGAGCGAAGAGAAAGGGAACCTGGTGAAGATGACCACACTCCCAGGACATGGAATGGGATTGAAAAAGAAATTTGATGAAACAATGCAGTCTAATCTCGGTCAAATGTTAGTCTGAACTCTGAGATTATATTTTATGCTTTTGGAGGATTACGGCTGGCTGCGATTCAAATTACCAATCTAAATTCCATTTTTGTTTGTTGATCGCCTTAAGTTTTAGTTACTTCTCAGAGAAGCGGAAGAAGAGGTGAAACCTGTGGTGGAAGAAGTTAAGAAAGCTGTAACTTTGGCTGAACTTGGGTTACTGAAAATTGAGATGAGGTACATTAATTACACCAGTTACCAGTTGGATGTTAATAATAACCTAGTGATTTAGAAATCATCGTTTGTCCCAATTCTAACGCCCAAAAATGCCCATACCTCGTTTTTCCTTATAATAATAAAATCACTCCGAGTGATTTTGACATGATCTTAATTAATTACCTTTTTAGCAAAAAGAGGTCTGAATATTTAGCCGCTAAAAAGGAATACAATGAGATACTAGAGGTTTTTACCGAAGAACAGAAGAAGAAAAAGTCAAAAAGCAGAAAACATGAAGTGATATGACCTATTCTATCTAATTCTAATCTTCTAGTTTCGACCCAAAACTAGGCCCTTCAATGATACTATAATGAAGTCAGAAATTCATTAGTTCAGAAACTCAGAAACTCTACAAAGGTTGACTAGCTCCGTAACGTGAATGTCATTGTAAACTGTAAACCAAGAAAGGTTTTTGTGGATGAATTTATTAAGTTTAAAGTATAGTTTATTTGATTGACTTTGACCGTGACCCCTAATCGAAGTCAGATAACTGCAGTCATTTTCATTTTTTGGTTTTATATTTATAAAGCATTCTGGATTGTTTAACTTTTAATTTGTAACAATATGCTAATCCGTAGTTTCACTCACATCTTATATTCATGGAGCATCCTAATATAAAGCTTGAAATGAACCTTGTAGAGTAGAAATTTGTTCTGTAGGCAGAATTGAAAAAGGAGATATTATTGCAATTGTTTATTGGACCAATTGCAATATAGTATTTATATCTACTTTAGATTAGTATATACGACTATATCTAGTTATGGTGTGATCCTGTTCTCTCTGAGGATAAGTAGACTCCCGCTGATTCTATCAGTATTAGATGATACGATACAGCCTTTGCAGGGGTTACTGTCGCCAAATATCCCAACAAATCAGGTGCAGTTATCATTTTACACTTTACAGCGCATAAGAGTTTTTAAAGGAATGTTGACATTTTGGTTTTAGAATTAGTAATCTCGGATTAAGTAGTTTATATTGTTTTCAGCCAGGATTTGGTTCAACCAATGCTTTTGTTCAATCATTTGATCTCTGTAATGGTTTCAGGTTGTTATCTAGCAGTCACAGTCATTATGAACGTTTGGATATTAAACGGGATGCATCGAAAAAGGATATAAAATCCGCTTACTTTACCAAAGCAAAGCAGGTATATTGGTAATGGTACGTCTGGGTATACTCATAATATCCATACAATCAAATAGAAACGGCACCAAGCGTTCTCAGGGTTTTATTTTTAAATGCAATTTTATTTTTTGGAATAGTTTCGAATTATGGTCAGCTTTCATTCAACCCCAAACATTGATAATGCTATAATGGTAAATACTATTAAACCCCTGCAAGGTTCGCACAACAATTTGACTACGAAAAACAAAGCAAGAAGATTTACAAAATACCTTATTTCAGTGTCACCCTGACCTTTACCCTGATAACCCTACCAAAGCAGAAGAATACCTCCACCTACAAGATTCCTACAACATTCTTATGTCTTCTGAATCCGACCCAAGCGATCACAGCACCCCTGCACCAATGGAAAATAGGACAGACTTTGCGCAGGAGATCGACAAAGAGTTTCTAAAGAGGTATTTATTCGCAAAAGCATACTTGCTGAGTTTTAGGGCTTGGAAACAGAAAATTGCAAGAATTCATCTAATTTATGTTATGACCTATATTTTGCACTCAATTCCACAGAAATTTCCGGGATAAAGCAGGAGCTCTCTATCCTTACCGTTAATTTTACCCCTGATATTGCAGGATTAAATAATTATACTGAATCTCACGTTACCTCCCCCCAGCGTCTGGAGAGACCCAATATCTCACGTTACCTCCCCCCAGCGTCTGGAGAGACCCAATATCTCACGTTACCTCCCCCCAGCGTCTGGAGAGACCCAATATCTCACGTTACCTCCCCCAGCGTCTGGAGAGTCCCAATATCTCACGTTACCTCCCCCCAGCGTCTGGAGAGACTCAATATCTCACGTTACCTCCCCCCAGCGTCTGGAGAGACCCAATATCTCACCTTACCTCCCCCCAGCGTCTGGAGAGACCCAATATCTCACGTTACCTCCCCCCAGCGTCTGGAGAGTCCCAATATCTCACGTTACCTCCCCCAGCGTCTGGAGAGTCCCAATATCTCACGTTACCTCCCCCCAGCGTCTGGAGAGACCCAATATCTCACGTTACCTCCCCCAGCGTCTGGAGAGACCCAATATCTCACGTTACCTCCCCCAGCGTCTGGAGAGTCCCAATATCTCACGTTACCTCCCCCAGCGTCTGGAGAGACCCAATATCTCACGTTACCTCCCCCAGCGTCTGGAGAGACCCAATATCTCACGTTACCTCCCCCAGCGTCTGGAGAGACCCAATATCTCACGTTACCTCCCCCCAGCGTCTGGAGAGACCCAATATCTCACGTTACCTCCCCCAGCGTCTGGAGAGACCCAATATCTCACGTTACCTCCCCCAGCGTCTGGAGAGACCCAATATCTCACGTTACCTCCCCCCAGCGTCTGGAGAGACCCAATATCTCACGTTACCTCCCCCAGCGTCTGGAAAGACCCAATATCTCACGTTACCTCCCCCCAGCGTCTGGAGAGACCCAATATCTCACGTTACCTCCCCCAGCGTCTGGAGAGACCCAATATCTCACGTTACCTCCCCCCAGCGTCTGGAGAGACTCAATATCTCACGCTACCTCCCCCAGCGTCTGGAGAGACCCAATATCTCACGTTACCTCCCCCAGCGTCTGGAGAGACCCAATATCTCACGTTACCTCCCCCAGCGTCTGGAGAGACTCAATATCTCACGTTACCTCCCCCAGCGTCTGGAGAGACCCAATATCTCACGTTACCTCCCCCAGCGTCTGGAGAGACCCAATATCTCACGTTACCTCCCCCCAGCGTCTGGAGAGACCCAATATCTCACGTTACCTCCCCCCAGCGTCTGGAGAGACCCAATATCTCACGTTACCTCCCCCCAGCGTCTGGAGAGACCCAATATCTCACGTTACCTCCCCCCAGCGTTTGGAGAGACCCAATATCTCACGTTACCTCCCCCCAGCGTCTGGAGAGACCCAATATCTCACGCTACCTCCCCCCAGCGTCTGGAGAGACCCAATATCTCACGTTACCTCCCCCCAGCGTCTGGAGAGACCCAATATCTCACGTTACCTCCCCCAGCGTCTGGAGAGACCCAATATCTCACGTTACCTCCCCCCAGCGTCTGGAGAGACCCAATATCTCATGTTACCTCCCCCCAGCGTCTGGAGAGACCCAATATCTCACGTTACCTCCCCCCAGCGTCTGGAGAGACCCAATATCTCACCTTACCTCCCCCAGCGTCTGGAGAGACCCAATATCTCACGTTACCTCCCCCCAGCGTCTGGAGAGACCCAATATCTCACCTTACCTCCCCCCAGCGTCTGGAGAGACCCAATATCTCACCTTACCTCCCCCAGCGTCTGGAAAGACCTAATATCTCACCTTACCTCCCCCAGCGCCTTGAGAGACCCAATATCTCACGTTACCTCCCCCCAGCGTCTGGAGAGACCCAATATCTCACGTTATCTCCCCCCAGCGTACGGAGAGACCCAATATCTCATGTTATCTCCCCCCAGCGTATGGAGAGACCCAATATCTCACGTTACCTCCCCCCAGCGTCTGGAGAGACCCAATATCTCACGTTACCTCCCCCCAGCGTCTGGAGAGACCCAATATCTCATGTTACCTCCCCCCAGCGTCTGGAGAGACCCAATATCTCACCTTACCTCCCCCAGCGTCTGGAGAGACCCAATATCTCACGTTACCTTCCCCCAGCGTCTGGAGAGACCCAATATCTCACGTTACCTCCCCCAGCGTCTGGAGAGACCCAATATCTCACGTTACCTCCCCCCAGCGTCTGGAGAGACCCAATATCTCACGTTACCTCCCCCCAGCGTCTGGAGAGACCCAATATCTCACGTTACCTCCCCCCAGCGTCTGGAGAGACCCAATATCTCACGTTACCTCCCCCCAGCGTCTGGAGAGACCCAATATTTCACGTTACCTCCCCCAGCGTCTGGAGAGACCCAATATCTCACGTTACCTCCCCCCAGCGTCTGGAGAGACCCAATATCTCACGTTACCTTCCCCCAGCGTCTGGAGAGACCCAATATCTCACGTTACCTCCCCCCAGCGTCTGGAGAGACCCAATATCTCACGTTACCTCCCCCCAGCGTCTGGAGAGACCCAATATCTCACCTTACCTCCCCCAGCGTCTGGAGAGACCCAATATCTCACCTTACCTCCCCCAGCGTCTGGAGAGACCCAATATCTCACGTTACCTCCCCCCAGCGTCTGGAGAGACCCAATATCTCACGTTACCTCCCCCCAGCGTCTGGAGAGACCCAATATCTCACGTTACCTCCCCCCAGCGTCTGGAGAGACCCAATATCTCACGTTACCTCCCCCCAGCGTCTGGAGAGACCCAATATCTCACGTTACCTCCCCCAGCGTCTGGAGAGACCCAATATCTCACCTTACCTCCCCCCAGCGTCTGGAGAGACCTAATATCTCACGTTACCTCCCCCCAGCGTCTGGAGAGACCCAATATCTCACGTTACCTCCCCCCTGCGTCTGGAGAGACCCAATATATCACCTTACCTCCCCCCAGCGTCTGGAGAGACCCAATATCTCACGTTACCTCCCCCCAGCGTCTGGAGAGACCCAATATCTCACGTTACCTCCCCCCTGCGTCTGGAGAGACCCAATATATCACCTTACCTCCCCCCAGCGTCTGGAGAGACCCAATATCTCACGTTACCTCCCCCCAGCGTCTGGAGAGACCCAATATCTCACGTTATCTCCCCCCAGCGTATGGAGAGACCCAATATCTCATGTTATCTCCCCCAGCGTCTGGAGAGACCCAATATCTCACGTTACTTCCCCCAGCGTATGGAGAGACCCAATATCTCATGTTATCTCCCCCAGCGTCTGGAGAGACCCAATATCTCACGTTACCTCCCCCAGCGTCTGGAGAGACCCAATATCTCACCTTACCTCCCCCCAGCGTCTGGAGAGACCTAATATCTCACGTTACCTCCCCCCAGCGTCTGGAGAGACCCAATATCTCACGTTACCTCCCCCCTGCGTCTGGAGAGACCCAATATATCACCTTACCTCCCCCCAGCGTCTGGAGAGACCCAATATCTCACGTTACCTCCCCCCAGCGTCTGGAGAGACCCAATATCTCACGTTATCTCCCCCCAGCGTATGGAGAGACCCAATATCTCATGTTATCTCCCCCAGCGTCTGGAGAGACCCAATATCTCACGTTACTTCCCCCAGCGTATGGAGAGACCCAATATCTCATGTTATCTCCCCCAGCGTCTGGAGAGACCCAATATCTCACGTTACTTCCCCCAGCGTATGGAGAGACCCAATATCTCATGTTATCTCCCCCAGCGTCTGGAGAGACCCAATATCTCACGTTACTTCCCCCAGCGTATGGAGAGACCCAATATCTCACGTTACCTCCCCCCAGCGTCTGGAGAGACCCAATATCTCACGTTACCTCCCCCAGCGTCTGGAGAGTCCCAATATCTCACGTTACCTCCCCCAGCGTCTGGAGAGACCCAATATCTCACGTTACCTCCCCCAGCGTCTGGAGAGACCCAATAGCACGTGATAAGACGGGACTACATCTCAACACCTCCCTCCTCAGTCCCTCCACCATATCCCATTATATCAACAAGTCCCTGAACGTGGTAGTGTGTGGCTGTGTTGCAGCGGTGGTTATGCTCGGCTTCTACCAGTACATGTTATGGGTCACCTCAGGGTAAGCATCTCTGCAGCTCTCATTTTAGTGAAGTTAGGTTAATGTAAGGAATATTCATTAACATTTGTGACTTGACACATTTTATATTTCCTACGTCACTTGAAAGTTAAAACTGATCCATGTTAAATTTTAGGGACGAGACAGAGGAGGAGAGAAGGAGAAGAGAAGAGCACGCCTACTATCGTAATCTAAATCAAAGTAGGGCTATCACACAGAGATTACCAGAATCTGTTCAGACACCTACAGAGCTTTGAATCCTTTATTTCCGTTTTAGGAACTCTGAAAGTGGCGTGGTCTATCAAGAACCTGACAAGATATGTTCAATTCTAGTTTCGAGTATCGACACATTACGAGCTGTTAAGAAACATTGTAATAAAAAGTTTTGGAACAATACATTTATAAAAGCAGAACATCGTTTATTTTATGTTTTATTGTAATTCAATTGGCAGTAATGTGGATTGAGGGTAGCAGATCTTGGTCACGTACCGTAATTTACTTTTTTATTTATGATCTCTGCGCGAGGTCAGATAATAACATTCATTTTGTGGTTTCATATTTATTAAACGTATTGGATTTTTAATTTTTGATTTACAAGTACCTGCTTTTTTAAAAATTTACAACCTGCTTCAATTATTAAAATTTTAATTTTACGAAATTTCATAAAAAATATTCATCAATGGGTTAGTAACCATTGGTTACTTATATTATAATATCAAAACATGCGAAAGATGAATATTCATTATTCGAATAGTTTTTATCAAAATTAACCAATATACTATATTAGTTGTGATGTGACCTTGTGCTGTTTGAAGATCAGTGAACCGGGTTGACTATTATCAGTATTATACAAATAGATTATAGATGATAAGATACAGCTTGTGGCGGGGTCACCATCTCCAGTTTACCCAACAAATAAGGTGGAGTACAGTAGTTTCTTGCAATTTTTCAAGTTTTACACACCTTTAGTAAAAAATATTGTCTAATTTGGAACTTTGAGGTTTCATTACCTGATTTTCCTCTAAAATCTATTTAATTCTAACCTATAATGATCTTGATAATTATTGAAGAACCGACTTTATAAGGTATATTTTCAGGTCACTACGTAGTTCTTTATAAGGTATATTTTCAGGTCACTACGCAGTGGTAGCAGCCACCCAGACCCACGGTTGGGCCTTCAATATGACGCGCCGGAAAAGAAAATAAACTCTGCTAACCTAGGAGAATCTAGGCAGATAGTGTTACAAATGACCACATACTCACATGCCATCAAACGTATCCGAGCACGAATTAGCCAGACGTTTTCCTTCTCAATGACAGGACGAAGTGTCACCTCCTCCTTTGATGCCCACTCTGTATTTCTTTTCATCCAAAAGTCTATGAATTTCATCGTCTGCGGGTCTCTTACAGTACTCGGGCTCATACTTTTAATCGAATTCTTCCTCAGACTTTTCGTCGGGTAAGGAACTCGAAATCAATTTATTTTCATTACTTTGACAACGTAAATAAAATCATAGTCAATGAATTATCGATACTAATCAGATTTACTGTCTTAGATTTTTAGGTTTTTACTTTTTACACGACCGCGTGAAATTTAGTTATTTGTGAAATTTTACCCAATCAATCTCAGTGACAAGACAGAAGAAGGCAGAATGTTGAAAGCTGAACATGATTACTACCGTAGTCGGAATCAAAGCAGGGACACCACACAGAGATTACCAGAGTCTGCTTAGGATCATCGACACAGTCGTAGATTCTTAATCTCAGGTGAATTTCTTAACTCGACCATCTCATGCTGCTGAACTTAACCAGATTTGCTTCGGGTCAGATTCGTTTCGGTTGCGCAGCTCCAATTCGTCTGAGCTTTAAAATCTGTAGCCGCACAACCGAACCAAACTGAATCAAACCTGCAGTAAAATTCGACGGTGTTATGATTGCACGCTTATTTAGATTTGCTGATAACTTTCAATCTTCATAACTTATTTTCTTTATTTGGTTATTAATTCGAATAACCAAATAGAGCGGATAGTTTAATAATGAAATCAATTTGCACGGAGATACCACTTTCAGCATAACAAATCAATCGATTAGTTGTAGCATGACAAATAATGAACAGAAATAAAGAAACACAAATACTAGAGACATTCTCCCTATCTGAGGGCCTCATTAATCTTTAAATTTAAATATTAAATATGTTAAAGGTAACATTTATGTTACATATTATGTATATTAAATATACTTGAAGACTTTCTTTCCACAAAGCTGTATGCTAACAACGCAGCAATAATAATTATATCAAAACATTAGCGACGTTAATCCTAAAATTAAACAAATTGACTGTAAATAATTAAATTGACCATCATAGAGGAATTAAAAAACAGTTTGAACATTGTTTTCCTGAGATTATGGTTTTTTTTCTTGGTATTTTTGAATACTTGTAAGAAAAAAATCACGTCCTCATCAACAACTGACAAACCTACAATGGCTAGGGGACCCTGTCAAGAATTGAACCCCAATGATAATAACGGGAATCCTTGTCTTCTATTTTAAGTCCCCTATCTCCTTATCTTTGTTGGACTGCAGTAGATCGTTTGTAATAAGAGGGCTCTTTTCCGTAAAGATGGTGTAATTTCTGTACTTCATTGCGTCCATCTCGGCCACTGTGGCAGGTAGTGGCAGGTTTGCTGTCTCCGGCAGGATCCAGGATGCTAGGAACGCTGTGGGATATCTTTATTTTAATCTTGCTTACGCGAAACCTGGACTCTTAAAAAGGCTGATATTAGAGCACTAGACGGTGTTTATACTAGAATCGTAGGCAGGTAGGCAGGCTCACGCGAAGATCATTTTACAATCGTTAAACTCGCAGGTTCATGGGCTATTCTAAGTGATTTGATATATACAATTTAGTACAATATATGATTATTATATATATCTTAGGAAAACCTACACCGATCTCATACATTCAATACTTCGTCACAAAAACAATAATAAGCAGATCAGGAGTTATCACACCACTATTTACCTGTTAATCACACCCAATGTAGGACCCATGAGAGAACATAGTTATCTCATGGGTAGTTATCGCATGGGTAGTTATCACATGGGTAATTGGGTAGGTTACATTATATTAGCGTAAACAAGAGTGAGAGAACAACTTTTACATAACGGACATTTATACCATAATCATAGGAGAATGATTATTATTCCCTTATATGGGCATCACATGGGAGAATTAAAGTTTCATGTTTCACATGATCAAAATAATTAAAATTTACTGTTTTGCCGACCAAATCTCGCCTGTGTCGTGCCGGAGGAAGGTTTATACCTAAATTGTGTGATGATGTGTTGAAGAATGAAGATGAGCCAACCTAAAACTGTCTGGCGGAAGTGGTGTATTCTGTTGCCTAGAAACGTGAAGCTGTCTGGTGGTCAGCTGATACTAAGGCTGGTATTGTTGCCTGGCGACGCAAAACCGTCTACTAAAGAATCATTTGTCTATAAAATGGCGGGCGGGGCCGCATTATGTAATTATTTAGTAAATAAAAATATTATATATTTTAATCTTGGGCACGTGGTTTGTTGATGCGGTACGAATTGTTTTCGCCCAATACCTACTGCTCAATATATTATTAAAAAATAGTGCCGAAGCCCGAATGAACTATTGGTGTGAGAAGTTTCATGTTTTTGAATATTAGGAAAAAATATGGTTCTTGAATTAATACTCGACTAAGGTGCAATCCGATGGATTAAAGTAGGGCTCCAATGAATACGTTAACAAATCTGCTATTGACAAATAAGTGGGAATATAGCAAATAAGAAACAGAAACCAAGTTGTCGATCAAAGGGCCAGAAAAACAATTATTCAACCCATTCCCATTTATTCCTCAACTTTGGTCAATGGGCATTGGAATCAATGGACATCAATGGGCATTGCTGTTTAAGGTATTGCTGTTTAAAGCTTTTCCCATTGGGCTAAGCCTTTTAAACATCAGCATCGTGTTCCCCTCCCCTGAGTTTAACCGAAAAATTATAAAAATGATGCCCATTTTGCCCATGAATTATTCCTCAACTTTGGGTAAAATGGGCAGTGGTAACAAAAACAATCACGTATTTTAACCGTTCTACCCTCTCTCCTGCGTTTACTCTATGAACTTTTCTGTCGACATCGTAATTAGAGAAAGGGCGTCGAACAAATGGACAGCGGAGTTTTAAAATGGGAAAACAGATAGTTTAGATACCACGATAAGTTTTCTTCGCTATGATTTTTCGGTTTTCGCGAAGTGGAAAGCCATTTACTCTCGTTTTCCTTGACGTGTTACTACATTTGAATACTTCTGTTCAATACAGCAAGTATTCAATGACAATTACGTGGCATTATTGTCGACAGATAGGCGAATTGAATAATGAACATTGCTACATTTTTAAGTGTCAACATCCGCCTGCTTGACGATCATTTATGATGTGAAAATGGAATTGCTGGCCATTTCATTATTTCAAATTGCTCGAAAATTTCTATTCAGCATTTAGCATGGGATGCGGGTAACTATTGATTTAAGTTCAAGCGCTGTTTGGAATTTCTTTAAGACTCAAACTATCTTGATGTACGAACAAAAACTCTGGAAATTTCCACGCATAATCTTTGCAAGTCCCCGGAAATGTTCAGTACACTCACCCAAAATACAGAATAGGAAGAGAGTTGTGTAGACAAGGTTAGCATTGTCCTCGTGGATAACAATCACGAACGGTGCTATCAGAGATGATATCTGAGCTGCACAAACACACCTGAAAAAGGGTAATGTTAGTAAAACACTCTCTAATAAAATACGCCTACATAAGATTTATAAAAATTTGACCCATCACTCCTTGCACTTTGTTCCTGATCTGACTTGCGTTTATTGTTCTAGTGAAGTTTGTTCTAGTGTTGTTCGGTAAACGTACTGTAGTGCGAAACCTGAAGTTCGACAAGACCTCAGACCTCCCTCTTTCGCACTAAAATTCGTGTCGCACTACAGTCCAGGTAGCGTACTGTAGTGCGACACCAGATCCTGTCATATTTCCAAGTTCAGGTCGTATCCTTCTTATGGACCATTAAGTGATTCGTCGGGTCGGTTCACGTCACGTATTTCGAAGTGATCCACTGATCCAGTCGTAAGCAGTAGGTGATCACAATTCCTTCGGGTCGTATCTACTATCTAGCCACGTATCCTAATTCCTATCACACGCATCGTATAAAGACATATCTCTGATTGGGATAAAAAGCATCGAACAACATGACCTCCAAAGTCACCTTCATTCCTGGACGTACTTCTGGTTCAAGAAACTTGATCCACAACGGATACCGCTACTGCCTGGATAAGTAGCACGACGACAAGACCTACTGGAGATGTACTGATAAGACCTGCTCCGGACGCCTCAATCTGATGAACGACACTACTGTGACGAATACGAAGCCTCATTCCCACCCTCCTAGTCCTACTCCTGCAGCGAACTCAGTCTACAAAGCAAAACAGAGTTCATGAAATGGAAAGCTTCAGATACTGACCTCCCTACGAAACACCTAATCGCTGACGCTGTTGGACCCCTCTCCTTCGAAGCCATATCAAAACCCGCTCCATGGCAAATCTTTTCCTAATTCCTGACTACATCAGAACGAACAAGGGTGAAAACTTCCTGCTTTGGGATTCTACCTACTCGGCTGAGAGGAGAAGATTTTTCCTGTTCGGCACGGTGGAATCACATGAATCGTTTGGCTGGGGCTCCTCATCTTGTCATTTATGGTACCTTTAGGCCTTGGAAATTCTCTGTCGCACTTGAGTTCGTGTCGCACTACAGTCCAGGTAGCGTAGTGTAGTGCGACAGTTTCGATCTTGGAGGTTTTCGCACTATGGTACGTGTCGCACTACAGTACAGGAATCTGCTGTTGCCTGTTCTAGTGTTGTTCTAGTGTTATTCTAGTGTTGTTCTAGTGTTGTTCTAGTGTTGTTCTAGCGTTGTTCTAGTGTTGTTCTAGCGTTGTTCTAGTGTTGTTCTAGTGTTGTTCTAGTGTTGTTCTAGTGTTGTTCTAGTGTTGTTCTAGTGTTGTTCTAGTGTTGTTCTAGTGTTGTTCTAGTGTTGTTCTAGTGTTGTTCTAGTGTTGTTCTAGTGTTGTTATAATGTTGTTCTAGTGTTGTTCTAGTGTTGTTCTAGTGTTGTTCTAGTGTTGTTCTAGTGTTGTTCTAGTGTTGTTATAATGTTGTTTAATTAATAATTGTTGTAATCTAACTTAATTCTTTCGTAATACTAAAACCCTGATAAGTTCATAACGTACAGTTGGTATTCCGTGTTGACATGTGATTTGAGATGTTACCGTCTGTATTCCGTGTTGACATGTGATTTGAGATGTTACCGTCTGTATTCCGTGTTGATATGTGATTTGAGATGTTACCGCCTGTGCTACTTAGTTCTTTAGTTTGGGTATGATGGCAACTTTATACCTCGATATTACTAATAGTTGTTAATAAGCTTATACAAATAGATCCGCCCTCCCATATGAACCGAGGGGTTCCGTTCAGGCCCTTCACACTTTGTTTCTGTCTAGTTCTAATGTACCGTCACAATAGTGACTTTAATATATCATACCAACAATTATCATTCATTCAAAAATATCCTGTCATGTTGTGTCATGGCCTGACATTATTCAGAACCGCAAATCTGTCCGATGATTTGATCAAGAAACTATTTCTCGTCATACTATGAAAGCTGAACGTTTCTGTCAAGGCATGGCCGTGATTGCAAATCTTTGCGGCACTAATGCCATTGGCCGGGACAATTAACGATTTTACTCGAATTACGAGCCGATCAGTTACCCATTATCTTCCCTAATTGCAATAATCTGACCTTATTTCACCGAGCAAGCCATCCTAACTGGTAATGAATGCATATTACCGTGCCATGTTCACAACAAAACGGAGGTGACACAGCGTAGCAGTGCTATTACACGGAATTAACAAGGAATATGTCGAGAAACTACGGATAATTACGGGAAAAGCAAGCGGGGTTAGTGGCAGACACGTCCTTAGTTAATAGTACCCAGTAAAAACTCGTTTTCTGGACACATACCAACGTCAACACATACCAACGTCGCTGTCTGACACAATTCCGCGGAAGCATGTTCACAGTCCAGGGAGAGGGCTAATTCTGCGCGCACAGCTAGTTCTGCGTGCACAGCAGGCCGTGCAACTTCTGCAGAATGGGCTTAGTACATTATACACACTTTGGCATGTATACTTTATGCGGTTCAAGTACATTATACACACATGGTGGTTCACGTGCACGTTCCTGTATAAGTGTATATGCTGTGATTTGCAAGGTTGTACCCTTTTTGGTTTAAACCATAGATAAGTGATAGATATAAAGTGGAATTTTTATCGACATTCCAAGATCAGCTACCTACATCATCTTTTGATGATACGGTTTGTTTATTAGAAAACATTTTCTGTTAGTGATATTTCCAGCCTTCGCGACCGTGACTAATGTAAAATCGCTATTAATCTCTTGATTAAAGAGGAGCCGTATAAACAATCTGTTCGGAGTGACTATTGTATGGCAAAAATAAAATTGGTCGACAATAATGTCAATAAATACAATAAACATGTATTTTGATATAGCTTTTAAATTGTATGTCAAATTTTCCAATCCAAGAACTTCTAGTCCTAACTAGCATACTCACAATCCAAGTCCGGATGATCTGACTGTTGTAGCGAATATCTCAGCACTGTACAGGTAGACAAGAGAGTAGATGAAACCACCCACTGCTCGTCCAAATATTACCTGCACATGAGATGTTATAAATATTAAATATATAATTATATAATATTAGGACGCAATGATATATGATAAACAGGATTAAACAGGATTAAACAGGATTAAACATAAATTTGTCAATGAGAGCCCTAACACTCACGTCTTGACTATACATCAATATAATAGAAATAAATAAATAAATAATGTGCAAGAGTTTTCTTAAAATAAAATATAATATGTGATGCAAAAATCATGGGCGGTTTGGGTCAGTGGTGTTTTACCTTGCTGACATCAGACACCCTACTATATACAGTTTATGCAGTGCTCAAACCTTGATTTTTGGTACATTTAAGCTAAAATAACTGCTGACTAGCTTACTGTTTCAAGAAATGAAATCTTTTTGATAATTTCACTTACCCAGAAAGTTTTGACTGAGAAGTGAGTATAGTGGAGATTCTGATGGGGCAGAAAGCGGCAAATCCCAACACTGATCCCGCACAACAAGAAGGAAACTAACATGCACCACCGTCTACCTATACGGTCTATGAAGAAGTACGAGCACACGTTTATCAGTATCTCCATTATTCCTGGGAGCAATGGTCATTTAGAAGTCACTACTGTCATGGGTTAGAGGTAATAGGTAATTACCTAATACCTATAACTTATAGGTAATAGGTGGGATGATTTGAGCTCGAAATTCGAATGATCTAAATTTGCATAACCCACTGATAGAAATGTGAATTTTAATTGTTTTGAGCTCTGCTGGCACATTAAAGGCATAACAATATGTCTTTTCGGCAATTGCTCAAATCCCGGCTCATTTTCAAACCTCAATCCTGATTCTCCAAAAAAACCAGCTTGATTAAAGAATTTCAAAGAATGAGTATTGGATAAAATTGATATTATTCTTTTCTTTAACTCACCGGTTACTGCCAGATTGAGATAAGGGTTTCCCAAGACATCGTTCATATTAAAACTCAGAGCGAAGAAGTATAGGGCTGCCGTGAACCATATGAACATCTGCAAGAACACATTGTAGCCGTTTCAAGAGTTGATTATATAGTCTAAGTCATGTTGATATTGTTGAATGTGTCTTCAGTGGTGATCACTGATTGTGAATCGCAATACATGTTGTTTTATATGGTGACGTATTGTTTTTGTATATTAGAGCTTTAGCCACAGGTAGGTTGGTCTGCACGGAGCCCCACAGTTTAACTAGCCGTACAGCAAGGATATCCACTCTGTTCACCAGGTTAGGCACACAACAACACTACATAACCAACACTACGTCACATTTTGTGGCGTATACTTTCAGGCCCCTTTATGAACGCTCAAAATAATATTGTTTGGAGTTTATTTTATTCGTCCCTTCTTATTGTGTTTGAAGAATTGTACTTAAATAAAGTACCTTGCACTTTCATCAAATATGAGTACCTGAGCGAGTGTAGCTGCGCACGTATACCGACTATAAGTAAAGAGTTTCCACGCTCTTTCGGTCTCACTGGGTTCATCCGTCGAGGTGATCTCAAAAACTTCGGGCAGGTCAACTTTATTCCAACTCGCCATTATCTTCAAAACCTGCCAAAATTGCAATCGTTAGGCAAGTACGTGCTGCTTCTATTTCTGGTATGTGCTGCTTCTATTTCTGGTATGCGCTGCTTCTATTTCTGGTTTGGTTACTGGATTTGTTTCCGCGTAAAAAGGCTGGCCCTGTCTCCGGGCTCCCAAAGACAGACTCCCGTGGTGAAATAGGTATAACGGAACTTGTCCACGTTTTTATATGATCACAAAATTTAATGTTTCTTTCATTAAAATTTCTGGTTGTTTCTGAATAGACTCAGGAAGACAGATTGTAATGGAAATAAAGAGCTGAATAACGTATCGACATTTCTACTGTACTCATACTCATATTCTCAATACATGTAATAGATTTGTAGTGCTGTAATTAGTTTTAAAAACTTTTAAAAACTAATAACAACACTACAAATCTATTACATGTATTGATAATATGAGTATGACGTAAAAATGTCGATACGTTATTCAGCTATTTATTTCCATTAGAATCTGTCTTTACTTCTTCACTGAGTCTATTCAGAAACAATCAGAAATTTGAATAAAAAAAACATTAAATCATGAGACTCGATAACACTACACGAATCCACATTCCACCAGACATTATTAATAATGTCACGTAACGAATACCTCGTTTTTTCATTCAAAACGGTAACCATGGTAACTGCACCAGTCTACCAGATCACAAAACTTGTTGACAATAATAATGCCTAAACTTATTGTATGGTAACTAAACTGTACATTACCGGATCAGTGCCATAATAACAGTGAAACTCTGCAGAAAGTCTTTGCAGATAACCAGATAATTGTTTAACGGTTTGAACTGATACGGACATGAACCAGACAGGAAGTTGATACCTGTTTGTCGGATAATGAAGCTAACGAATAATGACGATAATTGCTCTTAGTCTCTTAGTGTTTACATGTCAATGATTATGCCTTAAATTCGGGAAACAATGCAGCCTTATTCGTTCTAATGATTTAAAACGTGTGTTTTTGAATCAGATGGGCACAAAGACTTGGTGGGCAGAGAATTGGATCAAAGAATCTTGAAGACTGGGCATAAGTTGAGGAAAAGGAAGTATCTGTTTGATTTGTTTGATTTGTTTGATTTGACCAAACTAATGCCTTTCATTGCTTTATACCCTCAAAGTTAAACACTAAACAGCTACCATGTTCAATGACTATTTACTGTGAGAAACTCGCCTGTTTCGCCTCATCATCCTTTTTGTTTTTCAACAAGAAGCGAGGACTCTCTGGAATATTGCTGGCTAGCAGTAGAGCTACGAAAAAGAGGTGCGCTGATGTTGCTATGACAACAGCACGCCAGCTTGTGATGTAGGACGCTGCGAAGCAGAGGAATGCCATTCCCAACCCATACCTGAGAAAATGTAAATGTTAGTTTAGTCAGATCAGATTAGTTGATAAGATTATACTCACCCCACCATAAAATCATCCTTATATCTTGAAACTGAGGTGGGATGACCATATTAAAGTATATTAAAGTATATTAAAGTATATTAAAGTATATTAAAGTATATTAAAGTATATTGAAGTATATTAAAGTGTATTAAAGTATATTAAAGTATATTAAAGTATATAAAAGTATATTAAAGTATATTAAAGTATATTAAAGTATATTAAAGTATATTAAAGTATATTAAAGAATATCCCCGGCGCAAAATCGAAAAAAAAATCTACATTTCAATATATTTTAAAATATGGTCATCCCACTGAGTAACTGCTCAATCTGGGCCTGATCTGACTAAACCGTCTTAATGTAACAGATTTAAATTAATGTTAAAAGTTCAGTACCCGCATTGAGCCACGACATTAGCGAGGTTCCTAGCTCCAGCTCCAAGGTACTCGATAAGCAGTGGGTAGAATGTTACAGTTAGCCCACCTATACAGAACCCTTCTATCTGAAATAAAGTCATATTTATACAAAATTAGCGGGTTACTTGTGCTGTCATGTTGGTCTCCCAGGACCCAGACGAACATATATAATATCTATTAGAAATAAAAATTGAAACGACCACCCACATAACAATTAATATCAATTAATTAAATTTGTATAGGTATTAGGGTTAAGAATTAGGGTAAAGAGGTTCTCCATTTGATCATAGTAGAATATTCCCACAAACTGGAAGACCCAATGGCCAATTCTGCATACTGATACCAAGCCTGCCCCCGTGACCCGCTTCTGACTCAATTTTACATAATTTTATCCTGACACCAAGCATTTGGCATCCTCGTTTAAACTTTTAAAGGTTATTATCAGGAAAATCTTACTCCTTATAAATATAATGCGCCTTGAAGTTACTGTATGTCTATATATAATATTATGTAGGTATATCCGCTTCCTAAATCCTATATCCGCTTTTAACTTTATGGAAGGCACGAAATTGACTGTTTAAGCCCCGGCTGACCGCTGGGTGGTTTGATTTTTTATTGTCTCTAAACGGACTTTAATTTTCAAAGCGAGACTAATAGTCCGTAGGACGGGCATACCGCTATACTAGTGGTATAAATACAATTTGGCGTTGGCTCTTCGTAGATTATCGATCTTAAATATATGAGACACTATCGATGGTGAATTATATGTAAGACATAAGTTTGAGCTTTCAAATTAACTTTACCGACAATTAGCGGTGTATTGTGAATTAGTGCTGATTGTGCGTGGTACAAACCACGGCGGAATTCTTGTTGAGGTACGGAAAATCCAGATGGATAATATGTATAAGCAAGTCTGGATCTGGCTTCTTTTCTAACAGTATTGTGCTACCGCCAAGTTGTTTCTCTTAACACCCACCTCCTTTGAGACAATCAAAGATCCTAATCACGGCCTGTAAGCTTTTGTAGAACCAACCGTGCAGGTATCACTGTCAATGACTAGTCACTAGACATGGTTATCGTAATGAAAACCAATAGTGTGGATGAGTCTGGACGTGGTTCCAGTTCAGTGTCCACCTCGTACTAACCGCTCTGAAGACGATGAAAGTGTCGTAGCTGGAGAGGAGAGCCGCGCAACAGTTGACCAGGCCTGTCATGCTAAGTAACGGTTACTAAGTAACTGTAGTGGTGTTGCTAAGTAACGGTTACTAAGTAACTGTAGTGGTCTAGCTACAACTCAGAGTTTAGTCATCTGGTACTAACCGCTCTGAAGACGATGAAAGTGTCGTAGCTGGAGAGGAGAGCCGCGCAACAGTTGACCAGGCCTGTCATGCTAAGTAACGGTTACTAAGTAACTGTAGTGGTGTTGCTAAGTAACGGTTACTAAGTGACTGTAGTAGTGTTGCTAAGTAACGGTTACTAAGTAACTGTACTAACCGCTCTGAAGACGATGAAAGTGTCGTAGCTGGAGAGGAGAGCCGCGCAACAGTTGACCAGGCCTGTCACGCTAAGTAACGGTTACTAAGTAAGTCATCTCGTACTAACCGCTCTGAAGACGATGAAAGTGTCGTAGCTGGAGAGGAGAGCCGCGCAACAGTTGACCAGGCCTGTCATGCTAAGTAACGGTTACTAAGTAAGTCATCTCGTACTAACCGCTCTGAAGACGATGAAAGTGTCGTAGCTGGAGAGGAGAGCCGCGCAACAGTTGACCAGGCCTGTCATGCTAAGTAACGGTTACTAAGTAACTGTAGTGGTGTTGCTAAGTAACGGTTACTAAGTAACTAACCGCTCTGAAGACGATGAAAGTGTCGTAGCTGGAGAGGAGAGCCGCGCAACAGTTGACCAGGCCTGTCATGCTAAGTAACGGTTACTAAGTAACTGTAGTGGTGTTGCTAAGTAACGGTTACTAAGTAACTAGCTAAAACTCAGAGTTTAGCCATCTGGTACTAACCGCTCTGAAGACGATGAAAGTGTCGTAGCTGGAGAGGAGAGCCGCGCAACAGTTGACCAGGCCTGTCATGAGGAGGAAGCCCGTAGCTAACCACTTCCTACCCAACCAGTCTGCTATCATTCCGATTAGAAGGGAGCCCAGTGGGTATCCTATAAAAAACAGGGTCGAACCCAAACTGATCTGAGGAAATGGTTTCTGGTCAATCATAATGAATTGACAGTTATAGATCAGATTAAAATTACATGAAGGTACCAGTATCAGTTTACAAAATGGCTTCTTCAATGAAAAATGATAATGGAGCTATACTGTTTGAATCAGTTACACAACCAAACTGGATCTACCTGAATACCGTGTAGGTATTTATACAAGTACCTTGTAGGTGTTGCCACAGGTTAAGTTAAACTGGTTGACTAGGTTAGAACGAGTACCATCCCACTCCCACTCGTCATCCTCCATCATACACAGCTGAAATAACCTGGAGTTTCCAAACAGTATTCACAAATTACAACGTCTTTTAGTCAGGGTAATCTGTCGAAGGACTTGTGGTATTTAGGAAGGTCTTGTGGTATTTCAACATACCAATGTTGACTTGTGGTATTTCAACATACCAATGTTGACTTGCGGTATTTCGACATACCAATGTTGACTTGCAGTATTTCAACATACCAATGTTGACTTGTGGTATTTAAACATACCAATGATTTGTGGAAGTAGGTCTGGTATTTAAACACACCAATGATTTGTGGAAGTAGGTCTGGTATTTAAACATACCAATGATTTGTGGAAGTAGGTCTGGTATTTAAACATACCAATGATATGTGGAAGTAGGTCTGGTATTTAAACATACCAATGATTTGTGGAAGTAGGTCTGGTATTTAAACATACCAATGATTTGTGGAAGTAGGTCTGGTATTTCAACATACCAATGATTTGTGGAAGTAGGTCTGGTATTTAAACATACCAATGATTTGTGGAAGTAGGTCTGGTATTTAAACATACCAATGATTTGTGGAAGTAGGTCTGGTATTTAAACATACCAATGATTTGTGGAAGTAGGTCTGGTATTTAAACACACCAATGATTTGTGGAAGTAGGTCTGTTATTTAAACACACCAATGATTTGTGGAAGTGGGTCTGGTATTTCAACATACCAATGATTTGTGGAAGTAGGTCTGGTATTTAAACACACCAATGATTTGTGGAAGTAGGTCTGGTATTTAAACACACCAATGATTTGTGGAAGTAGGTCTGGTATTTCAACATACCAATGATTTGTGGAAGTAGGTCTGGTATTTAAACACACCAATGATTTGTGGAAGTAGGTCTGGTATTTAAACACACCAATGATTTGTGGAAGTAGGTCTGGTATTTAAACACACCAATGATTTGTGGAAGTAGGTCTGGTATTTAAACATACCAATGACTTGTGGAAGTAGGTCTGGTATTTAAACATACCAATGATTTGTGGAAGTAGGTCTGGTATTAAAACATACCAATGATTTGTGGAAGTAGGTCTGGTTTTTAAACATACCAATGATTTGTGGAAGTAGGTCTGTTATTTAAACATACCAATGGTTTGTGGAAGTAGGTCTGGTATTTCAACATACCAATGATTTGTGGAAGTAGGTCTGGTATTTAAACATACCAATGATTTGTGGAAGTAGGTCTGATATTTCAACATACCAATGATTTGTGGAAGTAGGTCTGGTATTTAAACATACCAATGATTTGTGGAAGTAGGTCTGGTATTTAAACATACCAATGATTTGTGGAAGTAAGTCTGGTATTTAAACATACCAATGATTTGTGGAAGTAGGTCTGGTTAAGGGTCAGGTTAACACAGTTATCAGATATACAGGTCCAGCCTGGCGTGACAGACAATATGTGAACCTGCAAATATTTTCTGTTAATGCTTTATCAAAAGAAAGAGGAGTAAAACCGTGCTTAAAATTGGTTTTAATAAAGATAATTCTGGTGAATAATGGGCAGTCTTTGGTTTTAAGAAGGCGTGACACCTCGTACAACGAATAACACAGCTTCGTTACTTATATTCCATTTTGAGGCGCTCTTTTTGTAATGACTAATTACAAAAAAAAATGTCTTGTTAACAAGCTCTGCTGTCTAATTTCACCAGTTTTATACGAATTTTATGAATTATCCTTTTGATCATTCGGTTGATTGGTGCAATTTCAGTGATTTTGTCACTCCTGCCAGGCGTTACTAATATTAAAAGAGTTACCGTCCAGACTGATTGCTAGTTACTTCTCAATGTCCACCAGATTCATTAAAATTTTTATCCTATAAGGCGGATGGTAGCCGAGACATGTTCAAAATCGTAAGTGTCGGTTGGTCGTATACTAACTAAAATTACTACGGTAAGTTTCTTAATTTGTTCAATCAGATCCAATTATAGGCCGTAATTAATAACTCTAATTTAATTTCTACTAGCTTTGAACATTGATTTAGTTTGAATATTCAATCGGACGGCTAATCATCATACATTAACTTCTTGTCAGGTCTTTGACACTGAGAATTAATTGATCGAACTGGAATTTTTGCATTTAGTTTACATTGACCACAAAGCTGAGTGACAAAGTATTTCTACTCATTCTTGATCAAAGACGTAAGATTTGAAATTTCACAAGAAACGGTGAGACATTATGTCATTACTCACGGATCACTTTGTCACTAAATTAATTCACTTGCCAAAATACTGGACAAGGAGTAGTGAAAATTGCACTGAGACAAATAATTATGAAATCGGTTAATGGACTAAAGAAAGTTTCGAATGTTTTGCTTATTAAACCTGCTGGCAAAGGAGATTAAAGAACTTTATGCTTAAACCAAAATTTTGTGGAAAGTTTCTTCGTCAAAAAACAACAAGGAACAAAAAATAAGAAAAAGAACAGGGGTAAAAACCACGGAAAAAGAAAGATAACCTGTACAGTGTACATCGTTGTACAATTAATTTACAAGTGAAGAGAGCCGCGCTATAAAAACCTGAAAGTCAAGCAGTCCAGCAGTGACCCGTTCTCCAATAGTATACATGACCACCACAAAAATCTGGAAGTTCCCCAATATACCCAACCTCTCGTACAACTCCTCCACATCAAGCGCTACCATGGTTACAAATAATCCGGGGTTACCCTGGTTACTGTAGTCCGGGGTCGGGGAGATGTGGTGACTGAAGTTCTGACTTGGAGGAGGTTTTATAGATCAGCTCTCAATCCCAACTTGTCGAGATTATCTCCTGCTCTGTTATCTCGAGACGCTACATTTTAGTCTGGACGATAGAAAAAATTATTTTACTGTCATGATCACTAGCTCAATCACTATAAAAAAGATGGTATGTTATTTAAAAGGATAAGCTTTGATATGAGCTGGTTTCTAATTTGTCCTAATCTGATAAGTAATTACTGTTCTCGCCATTTCGTCACTGCAAATTGGCTTCATGACTGATTGATGCTTTTAAGCGCTAGACGTACCACTATTTTCCTAATTTTCATCTCCACCGTGCATTCTATGAGGAAGATCAATGACGAAAAATCGTTCCAGAATGCTTTTCCCAAAAGTCTTGAAAGGAAACTTTACAGTATATATTCACAGCTGATAGCAAATAAGATGGGTCAAAGAGAACATTAAATTGGGATAGGGCGGATTCCTTATATTTGAGTGGTAGAGAAAGCTTCAGGAAAGGATTCATACAATCAAGTGGTCACGCAGGGTCACGATAATAATAATAATAGTAAATAGTGTCTAAAACACTTCTATAAAGTGAAACTTATTCTCAGAAGTGTGAAAAGAACTACGCTAAGAACCCAACAGTAAGATTCAAATAAAATATAAGACCGAAAAAAAGAAACTACCGGTTGTATCTCTTAAAACTGAACGTAAACTTATTCTAGCTGAGTAAATGTATCCTAAAAATAGCGCTAAGTAGTAGCACAAACACCAGTCTGTGCGATATTATGTAATACTTGGATATTAAAGTGATACGAAAGGATTTTATTAGCAGGAGCTTTCAAAATACTTGTGTAAATCTTCTTCAGCTTATTCAGCTTAATCGTATTATGTAACACTGACGGAAATAGTATCACGGCTCCCTGCCCTGTGATAATTTATCACCAACAACCAACTCTCAAATCACCAGTCGATATTTGTATTTCTGTTCGAGGATGATTTCTTAGATTAGACATCTAAGAAATCACTAGTGAAGAAAACTAGCAGATCTACTATTTTCGTTACCTTAAAAGGTGGTTAATTTGCAATTTTCATGGGTAAATCAATACCGAAACCACAAGACTGAAGATTCATTTCTTTAAGATGCGGCCTTAAAATACAGAGAAAAGCATTACTCCTTAAACATATAATGGAAAATACGCCAAGGCTCCAGGCTAGGTAAAATATCATACTGATAAAATACTCAACTTGGATTATACTTCTAGATTTAAAATACTTAACTTAGATTTAGTAATACTTAACTTTGATTTGGCATAAAAGCAAGACTTAGATTTGGTTTATACTAATATAAGCATCTTAACCCTCCCTTCCTCCCTCTCTCCATCAAAGAATTCATTGCTATCAAAGCTGTCGAACTTTACGGATGCACTTGTAAACAAATTAGTAGCCGCAGCGTTTCAAATTATAACAAATGAATAAAGACGTGACGCGGACGGTATAAGGAACAGCCCTTAATTGCTAATTGTTTAATTTGTTTTGAACCATGGTCTAACTTCTAATGACTGTTGAGTTATTGTTCCTAATGTTATAATACCCGGGCAAACGATCAATATTTAGAATTATAGCTGATAATTCTCTAAGATTACGTACAATCACGACAAAACCGGATCCATTTGCGCAGTAAAACTTTGCATAATTCGCATGAAAAAGTTTGGCACTTTTACTGTGAGTGGAGCAGCACGGTTTATTTTTCGAACAAGGAAACAGGGTATAGAAAACACATTAACGGATAGTGACGAGAGTATATTCTGCCGATCATTAGATTTATATACTCGTTAGCTTACTCTTCACGTGGCTATCACCCACGTGACGCCCACGTGTGGAAAACAAGCGCAACAAGCAGCGCTCACGCAGTTCCACGTGGTCTCTCCCCGCACTTGTATTTTAATTGATTGATAGTCAGGTGACTAAATTGATTTCTGGTAATCAGGCACAAGCCGGCCGCCCGCTAACTCACCTCACCACGTGACTGATGTGTTAATCATTGCCAGTAAACTGTCACCATGGTTACACTGGTTTGTAGGTGAGGTGCAACACACTTCATCTTATCTACGGAGGGGGTGCTGGTGGAGAAATATCCACATTCTGGACAACTTCAGACATTGAGCCCCTCAGTGAACAAGCACATAGAATCAACTGTCTTCGGCATTATTAATGGGTAAAATTTGCGTTAGTCTCAACTCTGCAAACGTAAGCAAAGAGTGGCTGAGCGAGTTGGGCGTGTCCGTAGCAGCCATGTTAAGTAAAAGTGCGGTTTAATTAGTCGCTGATCAAGACAATGATCTCGGTGGAGATATTGGTGAGCTTTAGAAGTTATAGTTCGCTTCTATATTCGCTATGGATCAATCTCGAAAAAGTGCTTCCGAAAGTTCAGTGACACAGGAACTTAATCATGATATTATATCCGAACCACAAGATCACGTCAAGTTCATCCAGGCAGATTGATTGAAAATTTACCGATATTGCAGATCAATCGGACAGTTTCAAAACTTCATTCAGAATTAGCCTCACCCGCAAAGCTCATTGTGCATTGCACAAGAATTGTACAAGCAGAGCTTGAAGAAGTTATAGTTCGCTTCTATACACATAGGATCCATCTCGAAAAAGTGCTTCCGAAAGTTCGGTGACACAGGAACTTAATCATGATATTATATCCGAACCACAAGATCACGTCAAGTTCATCCAGGCAGATTGATTGAAAATTTACCTATACTACAGATCGATCAATATCATACAGTTTCAAACTTCAGTTAGAACCAGCCTTACCCACAAAGCTTATTGTTCAATGCACAACAGGGACAAAAGCAAATCGCGGCATGTGCGGAATCGCGATTTTCCCCATTATTTGCGACAAATTTTATGTATAGTCTTATATGTATAGTCTGTTAAAAATCGCGGTATCGCGATTTTTGGGCAAAATAATCGCGATTTTCTTTTGTCCCTGATGCACAAGAATTGTGCAAGCAGACGAATTTTAGATGGTTTAACTGCCACGCAAAGTTTTTGCGGTGCTCGTGCAGTTTCACTCAGGTTAAACCAGACCAACTACTAAACTCGAGCAATCATGAGCCGAGGATTATTGACCAAACTTGGTGTTTTTTCTCCAAAAAGCGTGGTAAATCATTCTTATACTGGTTGGTAGGTTACCTTATTTCCCAAGAGGGGTGTCGACAAGTTAATGAACCGGCCCCCAGTTATTGGAGATCAATTAACCCAGAAATTCTGTCTACCACCCCCCGGTTCCTTGTTCTTTTTAACACCTCATCCTTACCACTAGAAGGTGTGTTGAAAGGAGCAAGCCTCATCCTTACCACTAGAAGGTGTGTTGAAAGGAGCCAGCCTCATCCTTACCACTAGAAGGTGTGTTGAAAGGAGCAAGCCCGGTTCCTTGTTCTTTTTAACACCTCATCCTTACCACTAGAAGGTGTGTTGAAAGGAGCAAGCCCGGTTCCTTGTTCTTTTTAACACCTCATCCCTACCACTAGAAGGTGTGTTGAAAGGAGCAGGTTGAAATATTGGAACACCTCATCCTTACCACTAGAAGGTGTGTTGAAAGGAGCAGGTTGAAATATTGGAACACCTCATCCTTACCACTAGAAGGTGTGTTGAAAGGAGCAGGTTGAAATATTGGAACACCTCATCCTTACCACTAGAAGGTGTGTTGAAAGGAGCAGGTTGAAATATTGGAACACTGACCCCAGTTTCCCCTTGGCCATAATCTTCTAATGAGTCTCGTGCGTGATTCAGTATACAAAGCGGCGCCCTGAAATAATCCAGACACATTCTGTGACTATATTAATCAGCGTGGACGTGGATTTTAGGACAAAGCTTGTCCAGATGGACATTTGTTTGGAAAATCGGGTGATTCTCCAGACGCGGCTGGAGGCGTGAAGACAATTTGCATGAGAATCATGTAGACTGGAGGTTACTAGAGAACCAGCTCCTACTGCAAACAATGGAGTGGGGGCGAGCTTTCTTTAGAAACTACCCGGTCATCATATCCAGTAGTTAAAGAGGTAGCAATACTATGAACCCCCTCATAAAGTGAACAATTAATCTAATTCTGAGTGCTCTCGGCAGCGTCTCCTTATACTCCTACCCTATTTCCTGCAAGCAACCGACAAAATTATCGAGCTATTTAAATTTTAAATACGTTTGTCAAATTTCCAGCGACACAAAACCGAACATAACGCAACATTTTAGAGTTTCACCACAGTGTTCTGAGATAAGTTTTTTTACTGTTTTCTTGATAAAGCCAACCAAGCATAACCAGGCATCTTTAAGATTTTCCCAATATCACCAATTCTTTTAAGGACACGTTCATTGAAGTTTGAGGAAATTGGTAAATTTCTAAAACAGCGTTTTTGACGATAGTGGTTTAATTTTAACATATATTAATCTAGCGTGTTCATAAGTTCTGAACATTAGCCACGTGACCCATACTCCCATATGCACTGCTCAAAAATAAAATGTATTGCTTTTAGGCACTATTATGTAAAAAATGCCACATTTTTGTGACATTGTTTACCATAGCTGCCCAATTAGCATTTTTTGGTCTAAAATATAGTAGATTAGGTCAATCTAACAATTATGATACAATGTAGGCCTAAAGGGCAGTGATCGAACGGCTTTAAGGCAACATTTCGTAAACTTTGTCACACTCAGAATACGAGACCTCTTTTCTACTGTGAGGTGTCCTCAAAACCCTTTCAACTCATTATTTGATAGTTCTTCTGCCAATCATAGCCCTAAAATATGTTGTTTTGAAAAGTTAACAAATACATGCACTTGGCTATTGGGAAATGATGTAAATTCTGTCACATGTATATGGAATTTGAAATTCTGGGTGGATTTCCGAAATCATTTATATCTGATTTTGGTTTGGAAGGCGGGAAAACTCTATATGAGGACGATACACGGATACAGTTGATTGAAGTGTAGGGCAGTTGATGTAAAAATCGTCACAAAATGATACGAAATCGTAAATGGACACGTTCATGTTGAAGTTTAAGGATATTGGTAAACCAAAAAAAAATAGCGTGTTC